TAATGCTCTGGTAAATGAGCTGCATTGCTTCCCGACCAAAATGAATGTATTAGCAATAACAATTTGCAACTTCAACTTTAGAAATGATTGTTCAAATATTTGATTAGTAACATTTTTAACTGTAGCCTTGTGGGTCTATTGAAAAATGGGAGCTTACCATTTATTGGTTATTTTTATGGTAACTGCAGCACTGATGACTTGAGAATGAGCAGCAAAAGTAATTTTCTACAGAAATTAATTTCTTAATTGAACTATAACTGTTCAACTTCATGTGTTGGTAATATATAATCGGTGTAACGACTTTAAACCCTACAGTATATGAGGGAGAAATAGTGCCCCTAACCTAGTACATGAATTTTCACCTCTGCCGCTCAGAGTGTCTGTGCACTCCACTGTCCGGAGGTTTTCCCATCATGCACTGGGCAGGAGGTATAAAGCATCCTAGACAGGACTTGCATCACTGACTGGGATTCATCTTGGGAAGATCTTTCTTCTCATGCCTTATCATTCACATGGATCTATTAATTTTCTGTCGAACAAAAGCACACATGATGGTCATTTGCATACAGCCTGAATGTGACTCCATCTATTATTACCACCAGGGTATTGTGTTAAAGCGTGAACAGCACTGAGAAGAAAACGTTGGTTGCCCCCTTTGAAGAAGTTCTCTTGGCTCTGACTCTGATATTTGTCCCAACATTACTGCATTGCAGATTCCCCCCCTCACATCTCTTGTTTTATTTTATTCCTGTCTACAGGTCATCCGGATGGTTTAAAACAACATTGTGCTTTAAAAGGATTTCAGGTGTCTGTATGGTTGCTCACTTACTTTCAATCAAAAAGGCTGTGACTGCCTCAACAGCCAACTTGTTTGTTTCTACATGACAATGAGCATGATGGAGCCTGGATCAAATCCAGAAAGCTGTTTCTAAAAAAGGAAGGAGTAATTAGTAAATGTCATTTGAGAGGAGTATGGCGAATTAGAAGCCTGGTGGATCATGTAATTAGGACGGGAGCCCTTTCATGGGCGGCTCAGGGAAGGACGAGGACACCACCGCTTCTCTGCTGAACACTGACAGTATACGAGCTGTTACAGAGAACACCATTTGACACACACACACACTTTCATAATAACAGAACCACGTTACTGCACACACTCACACCAGTGCAGATCACAATGTCAACCAAGACTGACAGTGATGCATGACTGTTGTATTCTTTGTTCCTTGTTCACATATCTGACTAGATGTCTTGATTGTCAGTGGAAAACATGTGTATACATAATGAAGAAACATAACAGGCTTGAGCTTTTAGGAAATATTAAGGTTTTCCATATCTGATTTTACATATTATGTAATATTATATAACTTGTGAAAATAACATTTCTATACGTAATTGCTATTTTGGGGTTTGACCTTTTCTGCGTTTTTCTTTTTCAATAGAACAGTGCAGTGATGAGTCCAAAAACCCGGAAGTGAGTTAGCATTTTACCACTACCGGTTCCCTCGTCTCAGAGTCAATGGGATTTCTCCATAGGATTTTGGAAAATAGCTCGAAATAAGGTCTGTGGTTGACACATATTTAACCCTTGGATGCACGAGTGACTGGACCCTACACTCTTCCATAAGTGGGTCAAAAAGGACCCGTATTAGAATAATGTGTTTTTATGCCATTTTTGTCATATTGGTTAAGAAAAATCACTTATATATAATATTTAGTATTATATTTTGGTTCACACTAGAAATATTTTATATTTAATTTTTCACTATTTATAATTCTAGACATTTTTTTAACATTGAAAAAAACGTTTTCCCATAGGATTCCATAGAAAATGCATGCGGGTAATTTTTTTAAAATTATTATTATTATTAATACAACAACTACAATTTCTTAAAATTTATAAAATTTAAAATTTGAATGGCATGATATCCAAAACATGTTTTTTGAGGAAAAGCGGGAATATTTTATATGATGACAAAAAAATGTAATTACAAAGATACTTCAAGAAAACCACCTCACCGGGTCAAAAAAGACCCACTTATGCATCTAAGGGTTAAGAGACGGATCACGCTTTGTTCTACGACATTAAAAGCATCAGCAGTGGTGATTTTTGAAGAGTTTACGTGTCTGAAAAACGATGGTTGTTAACAAGTGGCTGTTGTCGAGGACGTTGTACGTCATTACGCTGAACTCGTAAACACTCCCGCTAAGTTTGTTAGCGGGAGTCCTGTTCTGTTTGAAAGCAAGTACCTGCGCTCTTGCAAACTAACTGTTAAAACAAATGCTTCAACTTGTACAATTTTGAATCTGTATTTTTGAATATGGATCTTAAGTTGGCGTGACGTTGAAGTTGTGCGTCCCTGCTGTACTCGGCTGTACTGTAGTTCGTTTATAGCATAACGTTAGCATTTTGCTTCTGGTGATTAGATTTCTGATTCGAAAATTATAAAGGTAGGGTAGACATGTGGAGATTATCCGGCTGAACAAAACGTGCATTTATCAAACAGGTTCGTTTTAAACAGAACTTATTTCGAGCTATTTTCCAAAAATCTATGGAGAAATCCCATTGCTTTTTTGTCGAGGGAACCCATGCACAGCTTACTTCTGGGTAAATACGTCATCCCTGCACCACTCTATTACGAAAGAGAACACATTTAATTAGGTTAAATAATAGCGAAATACAATCAATACAAATAACCTAGACAGTAAAACCATTTCCCATTTTAATGAATACACCCCAACAAGTGTCCAAAGGGTTTGTTTTGTCTAAAAGTCAGTTTCCCCATGTGTGTTTTTTAAAGGTTTTATTTAGTGCTGACAGGGTTAGTCCATTAATAACTTATACAATCTTCATAGCAACATATGGCAGCTACTTTACTGACTCTGCTTATTAAATGTGCTCCTCTTGTTTAACTTTACCATTTCATTAGAACACATTTCTTTAATCTGAATTGAAAACACTGTCTTCATTGCCACAATTCTTACAAATAAAAGAAACTTGATCTTCAAGACAAGTGAACAACACGGGTGTCAGCTCTTCTCATTTGAAATGAAATACAACCTTATAAATCATTATGAACCAACAACACACAGCCTCCCTCCTAACTAAATGTTTTATCAGTGTGATTTAGATCAATTTCAGACTTGTTTATTCAGTCTGCTGCCCTCTTTAGATTCAGTGATCCACAGAGCAGGATGGACTGAAAATCCCCAAATGAAGCACAGCACCCTGTTGTGTTGCACCTTGGCTCACACCGTGCAGACCAAAAATACCCACACTGTTATCAGCCTCTCACATGTGTGTCTATGCAAATGTATTACACGGCAGCCTTATTTGCCTAGTCACAGCACATGTAGCTTACATTGCATCAGTCTATAAGAAGAAGAAAAAATGTGCCAGCCTCGGTTTCACTGAACACCTGTAGTATAATTATTATTATTTGGTTATCTAACTAGAAAGTAACTAATTAAAGGAAACTGCTGCAGATTAGGGGTGTATGGAACAATAGATCAGAAAGAGCACAGATAACATCAGAGATGGTGTAATAAATAAATCTCCTCCCTGAGAAGTAGCCGAAGGACTGACAGCAGCAGATTAGAGTCTGTGCCTTTAAACAAATTGGGTGCTCAAAGAGGCATATTGGCTGTGTGCTCGAGCATGTTTTATAGTGCAGCTCTGTGACACTGAGACACACAAGTCTGTCAGTTCAAACATGTCAACATGGTGCGGTTCAAACATGCTCGCGCTGCCAATTATTTCATTGCAATTACCCTTTTTGACTAATTGACCCTCAACTGTACTACAGAAGCTGAGAGTTCAGAGCCAAAGTTAACGGTGTATGAAACCAAACCCAAATTAGTTTCTTATCAAGGAATTGATTTCAACTGCTAAATGTTTTTTAATATTATTAAATCACTATATGTTTTTTTAAATGCTTTGAATTGTAAATGGAACACTATAAACTAATCCTAACCGTATAATGTAGGTCCTATAAGTAATTGTCCTATAAGAAAGAAATGTTTAAGTAAGGTATGTTTAATGACAGAGCCATGTGTGTCATTAAATAAATTGATAAAAGAATAAACAGGAGGATTCAATTCTAGAAATGGGGTGTTTTTTTAAATCATTCTGGCTCAGTGGAACACTTTAGCAAAAGAGATACATTATTCATATTAGTAACACCTGTGATCATTCATGTGACCACAGTAGGAAAATTAATTTGAAAATCAAGACTTAGTGTTATTGTTATTTCATTTCAGTGAACACTTTCTAATTTCATCAGAGTTGTTGATTAATTGTGCAGTATAATTCTTATGATTTATTACATAATGTATAACTGAATTAAACCTTAGAACCTCATCATTGTATAAATAGTTGGCAGTAATGTAGTTATAATCTTTAGTTGGTTGTATGTAAGTGGTGTGGTCCTTAATGTTGAGTGGATAACAATTGTGTTCTTATCTTTACTTGTTTTAATCATGGAAGTTCATTCTTGACCTTGAAATGTGACTCAAAAAGAAAAAATGCAAGGTTTATGACCGGATCCGAGGTGAAAAAGGATTGTCAAATGCTGCTCAAAGCTCTGAAATTGTCAGAAAGTGATTCTAGAATTTAATGTGAGGTTGATTTAAGTTATTGTTTAAGTTGTGGACTAACAATATTGTTATCTGAGGTTGAACTGCACCAAAACAAGATGTCTCCTGAGATTTAAGAAATGTTGTGTTTTATGTAACCATCTCAAAAACTCAAAATATCTTCATTGATTGCTTAGTTTTGTCGAGAATAATGTGCTAAATGGTTAAAGAAAAATTGGTAAATCCTAAATGGCTGATTTGAATAAAAAAAGAAATGTATCTCTTGAATATTTTTCATTGCTCAGTTTTTCTCTTGTATCCTAAGTACTAAATGCTGTAAGCTTGAGAGAAACTGAACTTCCGCGGCATCTTGTTGCAACGTCCCTGTCCAAGGTCCTAAAATCTGCTTTCCCAAGCATGCGTCATGTGACTTCACCGAGCACTGCCTCGCTCAGCACCAAGCTTGCTGCTTTCTGGAGATTTCATGTGAGAAAAGGACGAACCCCGAACCCCTTTCCCTCTCATCTTGCGTTGTTTAGACTGTTTTTTTCGCCCCCCTCCTTTTCGTCTTTTTCTATCGGATAATGTGGACCTTCAAAGCCCTCGGAGTATGACAAAAGATTTTAGGATGCTGGACTTGTGCTGCTCGTTTCGTTCCTCTCTTTTTACTCAAATGCCAACACGGTGAATGCGTCGGACAGAGTGGACAAGCCTGCTACTGGTCCGCATTCAGAAAGTCAACATCTTGTCTTTCTTGATATTATTTTCCCCCTGCAGCGACTTCAGAAGGATGTAACGAGCGATCCACCTTGCGCAGCTGAAGTCGTCTCGTCAAAATGCAGAAGGGAATACGACTTAATGATGGTCATGTCACCTACCTGGGGCTTTTGGCGAAAAAGGATGGTACAAGACGAGGGTGCTTGAGCAAAAAGAGCTCAGACAACACGAAATGGCACGCGAAGTGGTTTGCTTTGTTACAGAATATGCTCTTTTATTTTGAGAACGAGTCCAGCTCGAGACCCTCGGGATTATACCTGTTGGAGGGATGCATATGCGACAGGGCGCCTTCACCGAAACCTTCACAGTCAGCTAAGGAGAGTTTGGAAAAGCAGGTATGGAGAGCGTGCGCACGCACGCACGCACACACACACACACAAACATGCACGCATACACAAACTCTCTCTCTCTCTCCCTCTCTCTCTCTCTCTCTCTCTCTCTCTCTCTCTCTCATCTCTCTCTCTCTCTCTCTCATCTCTCTCTCCTCCTCTCTCTCCTCTCTCTCTCTCCTCTCTCTCTCTCTCTCTCTCGCTCTGGTTTATTGTTTTTCAGGATTCGTGTTAAAATATTGACGAGGTGCAACACTGAGTGTAAAATTTGCTCCTGCGCCGCACACGCCTTTGAACTATTTTAGTCGCGAACAAAGCAGTTTTTTTCTCTTATGCGTATTTTCTTCTTCTATCCAATCGCATCATGACCTCAAATCCAGCGCAGCAGAATAGCACGAGGTTCCAGATTGCTGTATTGCACGTTATGTAATCCATGCATGGCATTAATGATGAGGTAACAATATTAACACCTAATTATATCCCAGCAGCCCTGGCACTGGGCTCTGCAGTAGTTTGCTCTAGGTTGCACCAAACCCGAGCCTGATCGCCTTTTTGTTTATTTCCTTCTGTTATTATTAGTGGCATAGTTTTCAGTGGTGCAGAGAATGTAAAGGGATTTCTTCTTTTACCAGGGCCTTTAATTTGCATCCTGGTCGGTCACATGTGTTGCTTTTGACTTTAAGTCATCTTTTTTTTGACGGGTGGAGAGTGATGCTCCTTCCAATAAAACATGCAACAAAATAAATAAAGAAAAGTTGTTGCCTCAGGGTTTCCATCTTGTGGCCAAGTGATGAAATTACAGCTGAAGCAGAAGAAACAGCAGGGTGCCAGTGATAAATCAGCTCTGATCTAGATGACCTGAAAAAATGAATCTGTCTTTTTCTGGAATTTTGCATTTGCGTATACATGGTAATTGTTTTACCCCTTCTTATAGGTGGTATACTTAATTAAGACTCAATCACACATAGTTGGTGTTTTGCAGATACATGTTGCAGGATACACTTAAATCATATCTGCAAATGAAGTATCCACTTGAACTTAAAATATCTCCTTTGAATGATTCTCAACTCAGCTAAAAATCAAAGTGGGGAACAGGAAGGTTGCCATGTCTGTTGACATTGTTATTGTGAATTTAACAGTCGAGGAACATACTGCTTCACTGCCACTGGCGCTCCTCTCCTCTCTCCAGGCTCTGTGCCTGACTCTGTCGGCAGGGCTGCAGTCCAAAGTGAGTCCAGGCTCTTCCTGTGAACAGCTGCCTTTGTGCTGACGAAGCAGAATGCAACACACTGGCTAATGTTCTGCTCTCACAGTTGCTTTAAAGGCTCTGAAAAAAATCTCCCTGAAATCATTTTGATTCTTTCTATTTCTTTTTTGTCAGCAGTGTTGTTTCCTCCGCATTGTGCTGTATTAAATGTGAAATCCTGATGGACTGAATTCATGACCAACTTGAGCAAAAATGCTTGATGCGCTTTGTTCTGAGAACCCTGTTAGCACAGAGCGAAAGCCCTGGGAGGTGCACGAATAATGAATGCCTAATGCGACTGATATGACAGGCTGCTGAAGAGTTACCTCTCATTGTAAACAAACCAACATCCTTAACAAGGACGAATAAGAGTAAGAAAACATCCCCTCTATCTCGTATCCCCACCTGGATTTATGATTCTGTGCAAACGTTCTAGCAATCCACCATAATCCCTACATTATATTTATCCTCAAATGCAGTTACTGTGAAAATGATAATGCCTATGAGCCCGAGGTTTCTATGGCAACTCTTATTTGCATCCTAAAGAATGATGCAGTTGAGAAAGGCGGGGTAACGGAGAGGAGAGAAGTAGTGTGTCGCATCTCTCCTATTAATGCGAGCGCTATCTGGGCTAAATGTGTTCCTTGCAGTACCTTGGAGGGGTCAGTGTCCATTTATAGAAAAACACAGCTCGCTCTCTCCGGGAAACAGCAGCTCTTTGACCAATAACATCGGAAGCTCCAGGAGCAATAGATGGTTGATTTGGTACAAATTTTACACTAAATCTAAAGATCTGACAAAGATTTACCATTAATGGCTGATGTCCTGGTGGTGTTGATATGGAAAGGTTAATGTTCAAGCTCAAGCTTCTCATAAAAGTTGAAGTAGATGCAAGAGTAATGCAAACACTTAGTTCTGCAGGGAATATATTGCATAGATTATATTTTATGATTCAACAGTCCTTTTACAGTACTGCTGCAATAAAACTGAACTGTTTTTCAGTTAGTAACAATTAAACAAGATGTAAGAATCGTACTTCTTATGTTTAATGAATTATTACCCTCTCTCTCACGTTCACTGCAAAGCCAGACTGACAAGTGGGTGTTGCATAACAAGAGAAAATAGATTTAGGGGCAAAGGACACTCATGGATCCATATGATTTTATCAATGATTTATCAATCTCATAATATCTCCTGTTAAGATCAGAAATGATTTTAAAGGTGCATGACTCAGCCATAAACATGAAGCAGGAAGCAGACAGAGAGCTTAACATCGCCTCACACCAGACACTCAGCGCACTCTTAGAGAGATCATGAGGGAAAACTACAACAACATGCATGCCTCTCTGCCAGGAATAGATTTTCTTTGACGGTAGGGTGAATACCTAATGAATGTGAAGATGGAGGAGCAGTCACCCATGAATAAGGATCAGTTGCAGGTTGATAGGCGCCTGTTGAACATCTGCAGGCCAAAGATTAGAGTCTGTTCTCCGTCAGCACGGCTCAAAGAGTCCACAGAAAGATGACATTTCACTTCTGGGAGTTTTATCAAGGCTCACTTTCTGAGTTCTTGGTTGCGTTTGAAAAGAAAATATACAGTATGCTTTATGTAGCCTTGATCTAATGCAAAATGCCTTTTTTTTATCATATAAAACCTAGAAATGTTATATTTGAAATTCAAAGTAAATTGCTTTTATGCAATTGATGCATCAATCTTTCCTTACTATCAAAGAATAACTTTCCCTATTTGTAAGATAGTTTTAGTAGCAGTTTAGACACTTATTGTTGGGTTAAACCTATACTTGCCCCATTCGCAAAAACTAAAAATCACATCACTTTAGATTTAAAGGCAATGTTTGTTTCTTTTTCAAATAGTAACTCCATTGTGTCATTTTACAGTGATAGCTTGAGTGTTGAATCTTAGAAAAAAAGAGCAATATTCTTCAAAATCAACAGTGATTACAAAAATAATCAAGTATTAACTCTAAAAGTGCTTTTTATTATCAAAAGCAAAATTATTCAGTATTTAGTAAGCTCCTTACATAAGAGGAAATTCCAAAATTATACAATTTGAAAACTGAAAATATTACCCTATCAATGTCCCATGCTTAATTTCTGAAACTTAAGTAAATGTCCTAACTAATAGAATCATTTAAAATGCTAATAATAAAAACAATAATAATACATTATTTTCAATTGAGCTTCAGTTGCTAGGAAACAGGTATTGCACAGTTATGTAATTGGCCGTGGCTCGATCCTCCACGTCTTATGGCATTTCCTCCTGGGAACCAGAGACATCCCAGGAACTGAGCTGGGGGAGGCTTCCCTCAGCGAGAGCCATCAATTGCACTGGTGGGCGAGGAAGATGTGGCTTCCCCAGGCCCTGTGTGGTTTTAAATCACTCGCTTGATGTCGGCAGCTGCGAGGCAGTGGAACAAAGACAAAAGCGGTGGAGAAGCTTCAGTTAAGCCACTATATGTATATAATAGATTTATCTAGATTCTAGAAGCTATGCAATAATGAATGCTCCTTTCTGTGCAGGACGTATAACATGTCAGGTTAAGGATAGCCCTGTTGTTTATAACACATATTCCCCTCCCCCTTGTTTGTTTCAGTACTATTTCACTGTCAGCTTCACCCATGAAAACCAAAAGGCGCTCGAGTTACGCACAGAAGACGTAAAGGACTGTGATGAATGGGTGGCTGCGATATCACACGCCAGGTAAAGGCTCTCAACAGAGAAATGTGCAGACATGGCATGTAGAAGTTTAATTAGCCAGTAGCGAGTACTGTAAGTAATCCTGGACTGCTTCGTCTAGGAGATGTTGCTATGGTTTCATAAGTGGGGTTAAAATATGAGTTATGACAGAAAAATGCATTGTTCACAAGAAAAACCTGATTGCTCTGATGTAAGATAAAACTACGTACACTGATGTATCAGGAAATGTATCACTCGTTACAATACAAAACTGTGTGTGTGTGTTCATGTGTTACAGTTACAGAAACTTGGCCAACGAGCATGAGACCCTCATGCAGAAGTATCTTCATCTGCTTCAGATTGTGGAGACGGAGAAAACAGTTGCTAAGCAACTTCGACAACAGATAGAAGATGGGGAAATAGAGATTGAAAGGCTTAAGTCAGAGGTAATACTCACTGTGATGCCTTTACGCGGAGGAATAGGGATGTAAACAAATACTAATTCATTAGTCAGTTTGAGCAGACACATCTTACACATTTTGAAGTGGTATTCAATCCCCTGTCCCTCCCCAACTGACATAATGTTTGCCAAAACATAATGGCTCTTCTTCTCAGAGTTTTGCCTTGGTTAAATAAAAAACTGTCTTGATAGATACTATTAGCTTAATTCATCCTTAACAGTGATAAGATGCCTGCTGTCCATCCCGATGTCCATATATCTGTTTAGAAATCAAAGAAAAAAGATGCTGGTAATAATTTTAGACCTTGGCTAATTATCTTACATCTTTCTTCATTATCTAGGTGATTGATGTCTGTCTAGTATGAAAAGGAATTGCTAGTCGACAAACCAGCATGATTTTCCTGATGTAGATGACTTTTCTCCATTCCTCACCATATTTATTGTGCAGTTCAGGAGGAAGCTTGACTGTTTCTTTACAGGTTTAAATGTTACCCATGATTTCTTATTGAAGCCTAAATTGAAGTGAGGGATAGTCTCAAAAGTCCATGCTAATAGGCCTGGAAAGCCTTTTAGATTTTTGTCAGTAGCTTTCTAATGTTTTATCACTTTTATTATCTTGATAATGATAAGAAATCATTTGGCCCATCAACATGTATTTTCCCTTTGTTAAACCTTCAGTGGCATTTCCAAAAGCCAGCGATTTTATTATTCAATGGGTAAAATAATATGTTATTTTGTATATTTAAATACGTATACGTATGAGAAGTAAATAGTAGTTGGAACCAGTTTAACACTGGGGTATAGATGACACTTCACCCCAAATTGCTCCTGTGGGGATTGCCCACAGTATTGAGTATGTAAGTCGCTTTAGATTAAAGCGTCTAACAAGTAACATGTAATGATAGCTAAACCGACACAGGTAGCTCTGCATTTATTTTAGCCTCAGATGGCGGACATTTTACTATTGAAATATCCAAGATTTTGTCCTCTTTGACCAAACCATAATAATCAAGAATAGCAAGATTGTTGTTCCATAGACAAATGTGCGGCAGCCTCTCACGATATCAGTCAGACCTGCTGTAAATAGACTTCCTGAACTGGCACAATAACACTAAATTACCACTTCTTCCCGCAACGCACACTCATTCCTTTCTGAAATGTATCTGTGTCCCGTTCTCACTTCTCATCCTCAACAAATAACAGCTGAACCAGTGGGGAAATGATGGATTATGCTGATTATTGTTACGTTTCTCTCGTATGTGTATAAAGTAGTGTGAGAGGACAGAAATGGAAGCAGAGAGAAACGTGTTCAGGCCAACCACACTCCACTTTGCATCTCCTCTCAGAAACAATACCTCCAATAGTGCTGTATTCTTCAGATCAAATAGTCATGTTACTTTAATGTGCAAATGTGATGCTTGAAGTTAAATGATGTGCTGAATATGCATGAACACGGCTTTATATTGCATCTCTTCTATGAAATGCAATGACAATTAACTCTCTCACGTTCTGCAAAGTAAATGGAGACATTTAGCTTCAAACAGTTCAAGGTGGCTGTAGTCTGTCTATTTTTATTGCCAGCAGCCTGCTTACCTCTTGTCAACATGCAGGACAGTTTGGTACATATTGAATTTAAATTACCAATGTAATTAAATATTGATGCTGAGGTAGCAGCCAAGTGAACACAGCTAGTTTAGTCAGGCTAATGCCTCAGTGGTGACAGTGCTCACAGGTCCTGTCCTGTTGACTCCGTCACTTTGTTTACATGCCACTACAGTAAGTGAGGAGAAGAAGAGCGTGAGTGGGAATGATTAGTCTTTCTGTTGGTTACCAGATCTCTGGACATCTCAAGGACAACGAGAAGATCAACACCAGCCCTGCAACAACCCCCACCGATGACGACTCAGAAATCAAGAAAATCAAAAAGGTACTTCACATGATTCAAACCCGTTGCTTTATTTTAAGAGCATCCTAAGATTTTGGGGGAATTAACCACTGCCTTTAAAATGTCAGGTCCAGAGCTTCCTGCGAGGCTGGATCTGCAGGAGGAAGTGGAAGACAATCATCCAAGATTACATCCGCTCACCACACGCAGAGAGCATGAGGAAGAGGAACCAGGTGGTGTTCAGCATGTTGGACTCAGAGGCCGAGTACGTCCAGCAGCTTCACATCCTGGTGAACAACTTCCTGAGGCCGCTCCGCATGGCCGCCAGCTCCAAGAAACCGCCCATCACCCATGATGATGTCAGCAGCATTTTCCTAAACAGGTCTGATCTTTTTGTCCTACAGAGCACTACAGAACAATTACAGGTTGATGCTTGCTTTGTTTATTTCTTGTGCACATCTGCTATTCCACTGATCGCCAATTGGTGGCAGTAATTTAAAAAAAACGTAACATTAGACTGTACCAACAAACAGCATGAATAGTAGACTGCTAGCTGACTAAATGGACTGATTGATATGGAAAATGTAAAGATTTTAATATAAATCCTTCAAATGTTTTATAAAGAAGGAAACACATTCAATACATAATGATTTCAAGTCTAAGTTTCTAAAGTCTACTTTATATATAAGTATAGTAACATTTAAAGGTGACATTAAGACTAAATGATGCTTACTTTATTTCAACCTCAGTATATAAACAGAATATCTACAGGTATATTGCTATAAAGACATTTCATTTCTCACCATGTAAACTGAAATTACAAGATTTGTGTTCATGGCACCAGATTGAGTTTTGTGTCCATTCAGATAAATCTTTCCAGGAACACAGATAATATAATAAAGACAGTAATCGGCACCCACCCTCATTGGCCTTTTCAAAATACACACATACACTCATCCAGGCACGCTAATTCTCAAAACCTACACACTGCCTGGTGTCAGGATTTTTCTTTATCACTGGAAGATGGTAGAACTATGAACAAACACTCTGCATTTGTTTGAGAAAAAAATTAATATCTGTTCTTTTATTTTTCAGTGAAACTATCATGTTTCTACATCAGATATTCTACCAGGGGCTGAAAGCCAGAATAGCGAGTTGGCCAACATTAGTGCTGGGTAAGAAAAGTTTAAAAGGTTTTCATTACTTTTTCTTTAATGTGACCACTGTTCGATGTTGTAACAGTTTGTCGTTATTAATCTCTCTATAGCCGACCTGTTTGACATCCTGCTGCCCATGCTGAACATCTACCAGGAGTTTGTGAGGAACCACCAGTACAGCCTGCAGATCCTCGCTCACTGCAAGCAGAACAGAGACTTTGACAAGCTGCTGAAGCAGTACGAGGCCAAACCCGACTGTGAGGAGAGGACTCTGGAGACCTTCCTCACCTACCCCATGTTCCAGGTGAGCTAATTTGTCTCACTGATATACACAAGCAATAAAGGCAGACCCATTTGTTTGCTGCAGAGCTGCAGCCTGGAGCCAGGTTCTGTCATTAATACTAAGCTCTCGCAGCCATTCTGGGCCAAGTTCTTCCCTCCATATAGTGTTACCCCCATAATGTTCCCCTTGGGCCGTATAAATCACCAACTTAGTACTAGTTTGATATAGCTATGCCAATGAAACCCAGTTGTAGATGTATTTTTAAGACCCTGTCTGTGATCCAAATGTAAATGAAAGGGAAGCCCCTCGACCAACATACAAAACGTATAACTTGATTCTGCGATGACTCCCAAAATAGCACAGGTGTTCTCGTCTACAAGTTTCAATGTATATAGCCAATTTATCCTGCTCTCTTCTGAAGTATCTTTGACTCTTAATTTATTTTCGTTTATAAACCCACTTCTCATTCAACGCCTTCATGATATATTGTATATTCACTGATGACCTGCTGATTATCCTAAATTCAGACATTGAATTGCCCGCATCTAGACCTCTATTACATCGAGTTTAATGTACCTTATCATCATTCATTTTCAGGTGTTATGTATTGCCTTAAAAGCATATCATTAAGTTATTTACCTAATTGCAATTAACTTGAGGTGCCCAACTGTAAAAAGCACAGTTAAAGCCGGTTTATTTTCTAAGGCTCAAGAAAAAAGACCCAAAGATACATCCGTAGTCCCACAGTAGATGTCATTTGCAATGTGGTTGATGAATGGTAGTGTGTTGTTTTGTAATACCCACATAGGATTAAATAATAATTGTAAACAATTTGACTAGTTTCCACTTCAAACAAAGGAATATTTTTCCGTCATGTGTGCCGGCTTCTGTTCGGCAACTATGGCACAGTCGGCACTTGGCTTCAAAGACCCACCTCCTTGTTGAGCCCTCATTGGCTCTCTGAGCGATGTCCCATATTGTAGCATCACTGATCAAGAAGAGAGACAGCAGGCATTTATCTGCTTTAGCTCCGAATACCCCTGTAATGTTTTTCATGTCTATAAAAAGCGGTTGTTTTTTGGAGCTCAGGCTTTAATAACGGCTCCTTTCTGGCAAGGCACGCAGTTTCCCGACAGTCCACTCAGCTGGGGCCTACTGCAGGCTGTGCTGTGTTGATAATACATTTAGCTGATGAGTGTAGATTGTGCTCTCCACTGATCTACTTCTCATTAGTGTACGTGCACATTGGCCCTTGTTTATTCCTGTGTGGGTATCTTTGTGTTGTTCTTACATCTATGTATGAAAATGAGCTCTTATTTTTGAGTGTGACTCCCATGTTATCTGTCTCTGTAGATTCCTCGCTACATTCTTACACTCCACGAACTCCTGGCCCACACACCCCATGAACATGTAGAAAGAACCAGTCTGGACTACGCCAAATCCAAGCTGGAGGAGCTTTCCAGGTACTTTTGTATAAAGACATTTAAATCAAGACTTCAACTGAGCGACACTTCTTTTCACAGCATACTGGTCAAATGTCAGGTTTTCTAACCAATAAGAGTGCATTTTATGTTATGCCCCACATTTGTAGATAGAACATTTACATCTAGCAAATAGTCACACAAACGGTAGTATAACCAAAATAAATATTAACTGTATAACGTAAAATTGAGTACATACAACTTGCATTACTGAAGGCAACTCGGATTACTTTATTAACTTTCTTACATATTTATTATTTTATTTATCTTGTTCAAATATTGGCAAATCCTGTAAATGCAAATCATGCTAAAGTCATAAGATTAACAGCAAGAATTCCTGTGGTTATTCTCATTTGTGTGCCTCATTTTATACTGGATTTAATACAGATTGAATGAGATTGATTCAATGTTTCTTTTCCCCAGAATCATGCACGATGAAGTGAGCGAGACCGAGAACATCAGGAAGAACCTGGCAATAGAGCGCATGATCGTAGAGGGCTGTGAGATTCTTCTTGACACCAGCCAGACGTTTGTAAGACAAGGTAACTCCTGCCTTCAAGTACTGTACTTCAGATCCCAGTGAGGAAAAGCAGGATCTCAGCAGAGGGGATTTCCTGTCCCTCCTTACCTGTCTGACAGCCTGATCTCACACCTCAGCCCTGTATTGAGGGGGAAATTCTCATTCCTACAAAAAAAAGGCTCATCCCTCTCTCTCTGGGGAAACATGTACTCCTCATGAGTCTTTAATTTCCAAGTGTAATTAGACTGTTCAGAGGCAAACTGATGATGAAACTGGGACTGTAAATGTCAAACGTCCCCAACAGGCCTCGACGGGTGAGCAGAGGGAAAACAGAAATGACATTATTTAATCCTTAGTGTCTCATGTGACTCTGCATGTATTCAAATGTAAAGGAAGCAAGACAACCAGTTTTTTTAAACCATTTTCTTCCATTTCTTGTCATTGCCTCTTTTCCACTAGCATATGTGTCTTTCTCCCTCTCTTCCTCCTGCCTCCTTCTATTTACACACACTCTTTTTTTCCCTCATACAGGGTCTCTCATCCAGGTGCCGATGAGCGAGAAGGTCAAGATCACCCGTGGGCGACTGGGCTCTCTGTCTCTGAAGAAGGAGGGGGAGAGGCAGTGCTTTCTCTTCTCCAAGCATGTAATCATCTGCACCAGAGGATCTGGGGGAAAGCTTCATCTCACCAAGGTGGGCCTGCGCTGCTGAGCTAGCAGTGGAGTTGCTCCTTATTTCAAACATCACAACCTTTAAGGCACCGCAAACAAAATTAATCTCTGAGCTAAATTGAACGGATTAACTGACAGGAGATGAAAGCTCAAGGGTTAGTGATGTCGTGGCTTTTATTAGTGGCGATGACCGCTGACGCACTCATGAGCACACACACACACATACACACACATACACACACATACACACACACACACACACACACACACACACACATTGTACACGTATGAAAGCAGCTGCTTGATGTCACTTTGATGTGTGTTATGGAGCGGTGGCGTATGATTACTCCACATTACTCAACATTACAAAGGGCGATTGATGTTTGGGGTTCAACATGAGAACAAATACAAACACCTCTCCTAAAGTCAGAACAAGAACATTCTTCTTCTGAGATGTTTTAGAAATGAAATGCAATGTCTGATTTCTCATAGACACTTGGCGGTAGTGGAATCAAGTTGTGCACAGATATTTACACAATTGATTATTGTTTTGCTAAGAATTTGAGTTTAAGTTAATGACACCTTGCAGTTTACGCTTGTTACTTTGACAGGAGTAAACTAAATTAACTTCAAATAAATACTTATAAGAAAATATATATAACATGGTTAACTTTGAATGTAAAATGCTGTTTTCACCATCACATCTGTACTTTTAATTTGAAGGACTTGGATTTATAAATCTAATTTTGACAGAAAAGCAGTGTAAAATGTTTGGTATCTTCAATGTTAAAGCATGTTCAGTTGTTGGAGTCATGCAACTAAGTATATTTTGTATGTTGTACCCAGAATGGAGTAGTCTCGCTTATAGACTGCACTCTTTTGGAGGACCCTGAGGGGACAGATGATGAGGGTGAGTGTTTTATTCATATCAATCAATCAATCAATCAATCAATCAATCAATCAATCAATCCAGTACTAGTGTACCAATATGTATTAATATTTCATAATAACTATTTAAAAAAGAAGCTCCTGCACAAAATGTAAAATTGACCATTACTTACTGTAGGTATTAGTTTATGTAGATACAATTGAAAAACACTGAAACTGTATGCTTTAAAAAAAATCCTATTATACTATTCATGAGAATGTATTTATAGAGAAATGACTTCTAGGTATGTCTTTGTATTTGTTCAAAGCCAAATCAGACAAGAGCGGCCAGGACATGGAGCACCTGGACTTCAAGATTGTGGTGGAGCCAAAGGACAGCCAGTCATTCACAGTCATCCTGGTGGCCTCCTCCAGGCAGGAGAAGTCTGCATGGACCAGTGACATCAGCCAGGCACGTCAACATGCATCAGAGTATCTAGCATTCATACGAGAGGCCGAACATGTTGGCAGAAAGGCTGCACATTGCAGAACTCACTAACATTTCCTCTGTCCTCTCTGTTTGCTTCTATTGCATCTGTCCCACAGTGCATAGACAACATCCGCTGCAATGGGCTGATGATGAACGCCTTTGAAGACAACTCCAAAGTCACAGTGCCACAGATGATCAAGTAACCCTACATTTTTGATATGCAACTCTTTGCAGCTTCTACTTTTCTCAGAATTCACTTCTAATGTTGTTGTTTTTCTGAGCAGGTCAGATTCAAGTCTGTACTGCGATGATGTAGACATTCGCTTCAGCAAGATGATGAACTCCTGCAAGGTGCTACAGATCCGCTACGCCAGCGTCGAGCGCCTGCTGGAGAGACTGACTGACCTCCGTTTCCTCTCCATCGACTTCCTGAACACCTTCCTGCACTCCTATCGCGTGTTTACCACCGCTGATGTGGTGCTAGACAAGCTTATTACCATCTACAAGAAGCCCATCAGTGCCATCCCTGCGAGGTGAGTCATGTGACATGTGGACAGATTTGAATGTTGCAAGCTTGTTGACTGCATTAACGAAAAAAGAACATCTTATTTGATATGTTTGCCATGCTTTACACTTTACAATTCTGCATTAAGATAAGATTGTCATGTCATCAACGAGAGGAAGTGCAGTAGCCAAGGAGCATAAAGGTTTAAATGCAGCTACAGAACTAGTTTCCTCCATTTATAGCAATAAGGCTGATATCTTTTTTCATGTATTCCTGTTTTACATATAGTAAGGTACATTTTTACAAAGCTTTGCATGTTCAACTGTTGAGTTTTGTTGGTAAATGGAAGCACAGAGATTGAGTAGTAGAGGAAGGTAGGCTTTAGGATGCTATACTATCACGGTGTGTGTGTGTGTGTGTATTTATGTGCTCGGTGGTCGAACGCAGTAATTGGGTCCAGTCTTTTACTGCCCGTCTGGGAGTGTCTCAACCGGGCTCTGTCGCTCTATGGCAACCAACCTCGGTGCTGCAGGACCCCACCCTCCCCTCCCTCCCTCTCTCCTTGTCTGCAAAAGATCCATATTGTGAAATATTGACAGAGTGTTCGATGGGGCCAATCTCGCCGCTCCGCAGGCCTACAGCGAGGGCCCCACTGTGGGGTTCAGATCATGGGGAGCCCCCCATGCCCACGCCCTGCAGCATGCTCTCCATGGCGCTTGTCATGTCACTGTGAGACACCTACACTTGGCTGCCTTTGTCAGCAGTGGCCATGCGCACTATCACTCGCTGTGCTATTTATGGGAACCCGTGAGGTCGCCAGGAGGGTGGCAGGGAGTGGGAGAGGTTTTCTGCAACACTGCAGCTTGTATTCTGCTCTAAACCGACGAGACGCGGCTGCAAAGAGACTTCTTGCTGCTGTGCTGACTTGGTTGGCATAAATTATTAAAGAGGTGTTGTGTATTTAGCTAAGCTCTTAAAACAGAGAATGGTTACCAACTATCAAAGAAACATATTCCTGTGTTACTAAATTCAAATGCATATATCCTCCCTTAATGCAGGTCCCTGGAGTTATTCTTTGCCAGCAGTCAGAACAGTAAACTCCTGTATGGAGAGCCTCCCAGCTCCCCCAGGGCAAGCAGGAAGTTCTCCTCCCCTCCTCCTCTCGCTATGACCAAGAATTCATCACCAAATCGCCGGCGCAAGCTGTCCCTCAACATCCCCATCATTACTGGGGGCAAAGCTCTTGACCTGGCTGCCCTCAGCTGCTCCTCAAATGGCTATGCAAGCATGTACTCAACCATGTCACCATTCAGCAAGACCACCTTAGACATCAACAAACTGTACGTGTCCAGCCCTGTCTCGAGCAAAATCCCTGATGAGGGGGAGGACAAGAAGGACAAGGTGGAGGACACCACAGTGAGCAAACAAGGTAAATCAGGAGGAGCTAATCATCAGCACATAATCCCAATTTTGACTTGCAGGAATCATGTTTTCATTGATCTGTGAAATGGTGTTATGATACAGATCTCTCTGTTCGAGAAGAAGGTGACAACGATCCGAACCAGAGTGATGACGGGGACGCAGAAGCCTCTCCCACCAAGTCACCTACCACCCCGAAAAACATCAAAGGCAAAAACTCAGGTACATTGTGTCCTAAACATGTGTGTAATGTCATATTCCACTCTTTACACAACCAATCCAATTCACCAGCCAATTGCACTCTTCTTAGAGCCATCTTCACTGTTTTGTTTGACCACAGCAACAGCCTACATTGTATGAACAAAGCTTGTATCTGAAATAGTCTTTGGTTTGTCAAAAGGCCACAAAGGATGAATATTGGAATACAAAGGTTTAAATCTCTTTTTATGGTAAAGTTCTTACAATCTCTGGTGCAAAAAAAAAATACAAAAATCTTCCAGTGTAAAGCGTTATTCATATCAGATATAAATTGGTCATCATTGGTAATGATCATGTGAGGAAATCCAATGCTTGGCTTCCGTAGGTGTAAGTGAAACTTGTGTCATAGCAACTACATCAGGAGCGTGTTTTCCTGCCGCCCCCCAGTAATGAGGCAGTTTCACTGGAGCCAAGATTATCTGTGCCTTCTAAACCTTCTGACTAAATCACACAATAGATTTTAAATGAATCTATTGAGTGAATTAAAGCATTATCTGAAAGTGTGAAGCAGTGAATGTCTCACATGGTGGAGGGTTCTTAGCTGCTTCTGATCCGCCTATGTTCCCAGGATTTAAACATAGCAGACTGCAGAGAATCTGTTGATTCCTCTGTTATGCTGATATTTGGTGGCTATATTTAGCTGCAACCATCTTGAATATCAAAGCCTCTTGTAAAGGAAAGTCTGGAGGGGAACTGGTGTGTGGGCCTGTAGTGCCCCCTAGTGGGAGATTTGAAACAAGAAACAGGTCATACTGCAGTAAACAGTCAGTTATATAGTCAGTGACATAAATAATAGTTCACCAACAGCTCTCTGTTCATTTGAGTAGACGATCATCTTTTACAACTCTCCCCAAACTGACCACCATTTTCATTTGCTTATCACCTAAATCTATATCTACCAAGTTTTCACATGGTTATTTTCTCCTTCATCTGTTCTTCCCTGTAGAGTTCTCTCTGTTTTCCTACAACAATGGCATGGTGATGTCCTCATGTCGAGAGATGGATAACAACCGCAGTGCCCTGTCTGCCGCCTCCGCCTTCGCTATTGCTACAGCTGGAGCCAATGAGGGCACACCTACCAAGGAAAAATATCGACGGATGTCCCTCGCCAGTACTGGTAAACACAACTATTTACTTTACCATTACGTCTTAGCTCCAGTTTAGTTGCAGGTTAACATAACCAGGCTCATATCAGATTAATGGATCCATATTTTGTTGCCAAATGTGCATGTATTATATTTCATAGTGATGAGAGCTTCATGTAAAATCTCACTTTATTTGTTGTATGCAGGTTTCCCAACAGACCAGAGAAATGGAGACAAAGAGTTTGTGATCAGACGAGCAGCGACCAACAGAGTCCTGAATGTCCTGAGGCACTGGGTGTCCAAACACTCTCCGGTAAAACTCCCAATCACATGAACAGCTGCTTAATAGTGAAGTATTACATAATTGTAAATACATCTCATAATTTATTTTTAGTAACTTGATTTGCAAAACTAATTTGAATTGCATACAACATTGCATTACTGCCAGTTAGATCAAATAGTACATCATATATATTGCGAACAGAGCTGCTTCTTTGAGGAATGCTGAAATGTACTTATGTTGTCAACATTGGGTAAAGAAGTAGTTAGAAAACTGAAAAAAGGATCTGAGAAAAATAATAATTGTCTCACTAAAGAGTAGAATTATTTTTTAAATAACCTCTTATAAGCAAAACATGTCACAATTTGATGATTTATGACAAATATACCGTTTTTAAGTTTACAAATGTGCTGTCTGTTCCCTCCAGGATTTTGATAATAACAATGAGCTGAAGACTAAAGCTATTGTGTTCCTGGAGGAAGTGATGCATGACCCTGAGCTGTTGACCCAGGAGAGGAAAGCAGCAGCCAACATCATCAGGTACTGTTTTGTGACTACAATTCATTATGTAAACCCTTCATTGTACTGTTCATACTTCAGAGTTTGACCTTCACTGTTATCGTCTGACAGGACTCTAACTCAGGAAGATCACGGTGACAATCAGATCACCCTTAAAGACGTAACACAACTGGTGAGTGAAGTCAGTAGCTGCTGTTGATAAATGTGGAGCCGTTTTGAGCTGCACGAGGCAAGATATGTAGTAGCACAATGTGGGGTTATGATGGAGTAGAGCACTTTCATGTTAGAGCTGCTTATTTTCATTATTGATTAACCAGATATGATTTCCTCAATAAAAAGTTAGATCTTAAATTCCCATGGGAAAACATTCCCAGTTGAGAATAAGGAAGCAGAACATCTAAGGGATTTTTTTCTTGCAAAGTTAATTCATCAACTATTTTCTGTTGCTTGGATTAAGCTCTCATCAACATTAACTAAAAGGTTGAATTGTGCAGATAAAGTAAAATTCTATGGTTTTCTGTCTAATTCTGTACTATGAAAAGTGAAAAATACAACTTTTGTGAACCGTTGCAAAGTACAATGAATATTTAAGATACAGGCTATTAGATAAGTTTGCTTCTCATTATTCTTGTTGTGCATTTAGGAAAAAAGCATCCCACATGGGCATTTTGATGTTATTTACCAACATCAAATTCATTTTTGAGCATTGTCTGTGATTCACTTGCCTGCCACTTGTGATAAATTGCTCAGTACATTTATAGTTATTTTTGGGCTGTTTTGTTTCCTCCCAGATTGGAGAAGGGAAGGTGGAGGCCATTGAGAGTCACTCTGCGTTGGAGATTGCAGAACAGCTCACTCTGCTGGACCACCTGGTGTTTAAGGTCATCCCATATGAGTGAGTGTCATCACATCTCAGTCGCACGTGTCTGTGGCCAAGAAAAACACACGGACCAATTCAGTGTTTTCCTTTTTGTTCATCTATCAACAGAGAGTTCTTTGGACAAGGCTGGATGAAGAATGACAAAAATGAGAAGACGCCGTACATCATGAGAACAACAAAGCACTTCAATGATGTATGTTACAATCAACAAGCCCCCGATACAAATCATACTCTGTAACGTTTAGTGATTGTAAACCATTTGTTTCTCTCTTTGCTCTGCAAGATAAGCAACCTAATTGCCACAGAGATCCTGCGCTGTGACGACGTGGTCACTCGGGTGGTGGTCTTAGAGAAATGGGTGGCTGTGGCGGACATCTGTCGCTGCCTCCACAACTACAACGCCGTGCTGGAGATCACCTCGTCCCTCAACCGCAGCTCTGTCTTCCGCCTCAAGAAGACCTGGCTCAAGGTTTCCAAGCAGGTGTGTATCTCCCTATGTAATGTGCCTTATGATTTTTCCTTATAATGTGCCTAATGTTCTCATTAATTGTGTTCTTGACAACCTTTTCTTTCAGACAAAAGCATTGATTGACAAGCTGCAGAAGCTGGTCTCATCAGAGGGGAGGTTCAAAAACCTGAGAGAGGCTTTAAAGAAGTGAGTGAGACACAGTGTTGTTCTGGATCAACAAAGCAAGTGTGCAGTATAAGTGTACAGTGTTTTTTTTCCTCACCAGTTGTGATCCTCCCTGTGTGCCATATCTGGGGATGTACCTCACCGACCTGGCTTTCATTGAGGAGGGAACGCCGAACTACACCGAAGACAGCTTGGTCAACTTCTCAAAGATGAGAATGGTGAGATGTCTAATCACATTAGAGACTTGGCGCAAGGGTGTGTTTTACGGTCAGAATTTCACATCCTTATTCTTGTGTTTTTTCAGATTTCTCACATCATCAGAGAAATCAGGCAGTTTCAGCAAACAGCATACAAGATTGACCTGCAACCAAAGGTAAGTCAATCCTGTTTACATGCAAGCCTTCTACACAGTTCGTAAAGACTATTGTGGCCAGTTCAACTCAAAAGAGATTTATCGTACTTAGTTTGTTTTATTTAAATACTTTTCAGAGGCCTGAAGGAATAACTCATCCCATAATTACCAAGAAAAAGGCAAACAAATGAACAGAATATGAAATCAGGAACAAATATTATAGCACACAAAATTACATTCATTTGTTCTTACTGAACCATTATTTTATTTTATTTAAAAAGCTGGGTAGTTTTATACGGAAGAGGTTTAGGGCCACATGATTATTTTTTTTGGGAGGATTTGAAAAAAAAAAGAATCTCCGAATTCTGACTTTTTTCTCAGAATTCTGACTTTGAAGTCAGATTTTTTTTTTTGTTCTGAGAAAAAAGTCAGAATTCTGAGATTAAAGTCAGAATTCTGACTTTTTTTCTCAGAACAAAAAAAAAAAATGTTTTTCAAATCCTCCCAAAAAAAAAATGAATGTGGCCCTAATCCTCTTCCGTAGTTTTCTTCCGCACTATAAAAAATATTTTAAAAAGGGGGGTAAAATGACTTATTAGTCAACCTGGTCTTTACCTTTAGACATGTGCTACTAGTGATGATATGTCATGTGTAGTCATGTTTTTTCTATTAAAGAGGTCACAAACCAACAAAAATAATAAAACCGATTGGAAAATGAACAATATTGGCTTCCTTATCTATTTTGTGATGTTTGAAAATTGGAAAGCTAAATTTCAATACAAGAATATTTCTTAAACACTTTTTTTTCTGTTGCAGGTAGCCCAGTATCTACTGGATAATAGTTTTGTTCTGGATGAAGAGAGCATGTACGAAGCCTCACTCAGAATTGAGCCCAAAGTGCCGAACTGAAGGGGAAGTTGGTCGTCCACATTATTTTCTCTGTTAATATTACACATCAGTAAACATACACATTACCTTTTGTATAGTTGTACATGTTTAAGATATTTGCTCTTCTGTACAGTAGATGTTTAAGGTTGTTTGACAACACAAAACCTTTCAGTCTATATTTTTTGTTTGTTACAGTTGCCACCTGGTTTTCATTTTATTTTAGGGTATTTTAAGCATAATAACAGAGGTCCCCTTTGGTTGCGCACAACTGTGTCTTCTTAGTGACCAATGACATTATTTTGCATCATCTCGTAATGTGTTGACTTTGCACTTTCTGAGCACTCCTGCTGCCAGCTGTTGTTCTCTTTGCTTGAGTTGTATCTATGACTGAGTTTCTCTGCAACCAATGTAGCATTGTAAAAATGTAAGTGTATCAAATCAGGTAAAAGAGCACAGAGAATACAACTGTATTTAAAGATAAGGCACAATGATCAGTGGAGATGACAGCAAGGTACCTGAAGCATTAATGTCTCTGTGCTTCCCAAACCGAAATAACAGGGATTTGTTTTCTTCATTTCTGCTCAGTACTCTAGAGTCAGAGGTTCCCAACCAATCTGTGGCACTGCGGACTGTTTTCATACTGACAGTGTCGTTGTAGACCAGTGGTTAAACCTAGATACTTATAAAAGTGAGGCTGGTAGGGATGTTTTTTTGTTTTTCATCATAACATAATGGACCAACTTATTGTTTAACTTGAGGATAGCGCTAGATGAAAAGTCAGTGGACCACCAAAGTTATTTTTAATTCATCCTAAGTAGTACATAAATACAATGTTTCCTGGCAATCCAACCAACAGTAATTGAGACTTTTCACTAGAAAACAAAAATATGTGCATTTTCTGGTGGCACCAGAAAAAAAGTCTAGTGATCACAAAAGACAGGAGCTAATAGTTAGTAAAATATCAATCAAAATGAAGTTGAAAGATATCTAAACCCATGCTACTAGCACGTCTACAAATCCATATAACGGTGGTGAGTCCATGTTGGGGAAGAAAAATGCAAAACGGATAATTTATAGTTTTTGGCAGCATCAGAACGCTTATTTGTTCCCTAGGGAAGGAATTGGGAACCTCTGCTTTAAGATACATGTCTTCACTAACCTAAAATTAACAAGTTTTTCAGTGTTTTTTTTTAAATGTGTTGTAAAGTCACACTCTCCATCTAAGCCTTTTGTCACACAAGATGCCCAAACTCACCTCAATTTATTATAATCTGTGTGACAACACACAGCGATAAGGAAAAGTTACATTTATTTTGATAGCTGTGATTAAAGGTGAAGCATTCATCATCAGAATTTAGCTTTACACTTAAAATAAACATAAAGTATACAGTACAGTGAGTTCTACCTATGCTCAAATAATTTCATGTTTCTTGGTATTTAGTTTAACTCATAAAAAAAGATCACATGCGGTGGAAAGTGTTGTACCTTCAGGTTTGGCGATACTTGTGTAGAGTAAAGGTTGTTGCTCTTCTGTAATTAAAAGACAATCTGTCCTTTTTGCTGTTCCAGTGATTGTGGGACGTGACTGTATATCACTCTGTTATATGCATTGCTGTTTAAAACTTATGATAAAAACGTATGTGAATGACCTCTGCCTGCAGCATTCAAACACTATTTTTGTAGTAGTATAAGAGAGAGTTACCTGCTCTTTATATGAACATGGGAAAGTATTTTGTACTTTGTTGTTCACCTCATTGAGATGTGATGTATATTTTGTACATGCAACCCTGCATATTTCTCAATGTGGAACCGTGTAATCCTTTCAAAAAAAGAAAGTTGTATCTCAAGCTTAAACATGATACGCTAAAACAGTGTGGTTTTGAAACCATGACTTAGAGGTAGGAGATAACTTCAAAGTGTTTTTCATTGATACTGTAATCCTGTCTATAACCATTTCTGTTAGCAGGAATATAGTAACGTAGTGCTTATTCTGTGAATATTTGTATGTATTTTTACTATGTATGTACAGTACACTTTTGAAGCTCATGTGGCAGGCATGCAACACCTTCACAGACAGAATAATACTATATACTTATACTGTATACACTTATACATGCACATACTCTTATAAGGTATATAAACAAATAAACATTTTGCTGTGAGCAATACCCAGTGGTATGAAAATTATCTTTCAACCCTCATGTTTCCACACCTTAAATATATTCAGTTTTGTACGAAAAAAAATGAAAAGACAACAAGAAAATATACATTATGATAATAACGACAAATATACACAAATATGTTTCCCAGTTACCTCTTGCTAATAAATCCATTTTATATCAGGGGCATTTTGTCTCAAGTGTTTTTGTAGATCATCTATCAGTGGAAATCATGCTTGCTCAGAATGAAATAAAAATATAATCTGAAAGTATTTATCATCACCTGCATCTCTCTGTCCAAGCCATGCTGTTGCCCACAGTGGAGGAAAGTGTGACATCTCAGCTTTATCTAGAAGGGGGAACAAAACACACAACCATAATAAGAAGTCACAATTTGTCCCATATAGTTAAACAACATAATGTTGTGTCAGATATACTTTGGACCAGTGCTGAACAAGTTACTAATAGGATAAAATGTGTCACATATACAAGGATTATCTTAATTAATTAATAAATCACTATTTTTTTTGTATGTAGGCCTATGTATTGCAGGTACAAATTCTACATCTCACAAAAAAAACAATGGTTGACTTCTTATAGAATTTATTTGATACAAAGAGGGATTGATCTGTAGACTTGATTGATCTGTGCTCTGTTCGTGTAATCAACCACCATTATGATGATTAAATGATTAGATGTGAAAGTAGGATATTTTGGTGGTGCAGAATATATGGTCACGGCAACAAACAAAAAAAGCTGTTTTAAATAAAATAGTTACCAAATTCACTAAGCACATCAATGGTCTACTGCTGGTCAGAAGTGATTTTTGTAGCACAACACGTACTGTATAACACGGAAGATTAATTTTGTTCCCCTAGTTGTCATATCAGCGGAGCACTTTGTAGAAGGTCCCTGAGCACTCTGTTTTTTACTGAAGAGTTTTTGTGGCCAAAAAACGTTCACTTTCATTATCTCAAATGGAGTTGTATCCCTTTGTTCTTGTTATTTAATTATTTGTATTTTAAACTTTTTGACTATATGCATTGTTTTCAGATGAGTTTCACTTCAAGTCATGGATGGCACAGGTAGGTACAGTTTTCGTTATACATTTGTTATGCAACGTCGTTTACAGTATGGTTAAGAGGAAGTGATTTGTAAGGACAACTTGGCTACATGATTTCAGCCATATAAGTTGACAACAATTTATTTCAATAACTAATCTTATACTGTGTAGACTAATATTGACAGCAGAAACCCCTTCCCCTTAAACAGTACAATAAAGTGTACAGCATGCAGGAATACCATGAGAAGCTCCAGATATTCACAGAGAACAAGAGGAGGATTGACAAACACAATGAAGGAAATCAAACATTCACAAGTAAGAGCGGCCTCTTATCGATTTTACTTTTTAGATTTTATTTGTACAAGGTCTATTGTGAAAAAAGTTGAGCAATGTCTCCTCTCTTCCTGTAGTGGGACTGAACCAGTTCGCAGACATGACATTTGGGGAATTTCGAAAGTATTTCCTCTTGTCAGAGCCACAGGTAACGCCAACCATAAAAGTAACAATGATTTGAAATGTTTGTATTGTTTTGTTTCAAGGAGGGCATTTTAGTATTTTATGCATACTATATTTTACAGAACTGCTCTGCCACCAAGGGGAACCATTTCAGCAGCAAAGGACCACCTCCAGACTCCATCGACTGGAGAAAGAAAGGGAACTACGTGACAGATGTGAAGAACCAGGTGGATTTTGCATGCACTTACAGCAGATTCAAAATATTTCCTGGGGATAACTGATAACTCCAAATGTAACAGTCGATTATGTTATAATCAAATGGATCCCAAGCTGAAAAACAAGCTTTCTTTCACTTCTCTATCAAAACTTCTGCTCTTGTGTAGAAACAAAAATCCAATGTCATAGTAGGATCAAGAGTATTTACTGTATTTGTTCACTCATTTTAATATATTTTAGTCAGAACAACAGCTGATTGACTGTGCCCAGGACTTCAACAACCATGGATGTGATGGGTAAGATTCATCTTATGATAATTGAACTTTAACTACGACTGTGTGGGTCACCTACACATCCTGATAACTAGATCTTATTTTGTCTTTTTTAGCAGCCTTCCTAGTCAAGCATTTGAATACATCATGTACAACAAGGGACTGATGACAGAGGAGGACTACCCATACAAAGCTATTGTAACTAAATATTTTGCAACAAATAAACTAAACTACATGATAGGTAAAACTGACATTGATGTCACATATATTTAAGGGCTTTTAATGTATTTTTTTCAATCAGGAACTTACTTGTGTGTACAAGCCAGAGCTAGCAGCTGCTTTTGTGAAAGATGTTGTGAACATAACCCAGGTGAATGAAGATCAGAGTCTTTCTCCAGATATATAGTCTCTATTAAGAGGCCTGTGAGTGATGACGCTTTTATTTTACAGTATGATGAGAAAGGAATGGTAGATGCGGTTGCTACGCTCAATCCTGTCAGCTTTGCCTTTGAGGTGACCTCCGACTTCATGCATTACTCTGGGGGAGTGTATACCAGGTGAGCAGAGGTCACGAGTTTGTGTCATGAATGCTACTGTAAATATAGAGTAACTTTCCATTTAAAACTGTTCAATAAAAATGACAATATTCCTTAAGAATAATTATTTCTTATTTAAGAGCTAAAAATCTAATTTCCCCTTTTGTATTCTCTCTAGTTAGTCCAAACATGCTGCTGAAACCAGACGTTTTAATGTTTTGTTTTAGTAACATCTTAGTTAAAATATGATGTTTACTTTAACATTAAAGTATATTTTACAATTTAAATATTACTCCCTTTTAAGACTGGGGAGAAATATGCTCTCTTATTCTCACTTCTAATAGATATGATAACACCTCGACTCAAAGCAAGATATATTGTATTTCCTGTTTTTGCTTAAGTAACAATTTCCCCCAATTATCAGTAAATGAGGGAACTATAACCATTGTAAGAAAAAGGCCTTTTTTCTTCAAGTAATTTAATTTAGTAACATGCGAACACATAAATAGTGTGTCTTTTTATTTGTGAGATCATCAACAATGCACTGCTCCTTAATTGATTAGAATAAAATACAACCAAATATTCTGAAATGCAACCAGCCAAACTATGAGTGGTGAGGAAAAAGCCACATTTACCTCCAACTATAACTGTCCCATAAATAAGGATTTGGAAATGATGTCCTGTAAATAACTACTTTAAAAACACACATTATGTCTGTGCATATGATATAAAGCACCAAAAGCATTTCCTGTCAGTTAAGATCCTGTTTGAGCGCAAAATGGTTCACTTCCTCCTTATTTATCAAAACAGTCTTTGTATTAAGATGGCTCTAACTCGCTTATCTTCCTTATTTTTAGCACTGAATGTCACCAAACCCCAGACATGGTGAATCATGCTGTGTTAGCAGTAGGGTACGGACAGCAGGCCGGCACCCCTAACTGGATAGTAAAGAACTCATGGGGATCCCGCTGGGGGATTGACGGGTAAGTATTTTATTTAATCACATGAGGTAAAATATAACTACATGTATACTAAACAGAGAATGATATCAACAATGTTCTCCTCTTACAGATATTTCCTAATTGAGCGTGAAATGAACATGTGTGCACTTGCTGCCATCTTTCCCAGTGGTGTGATTCCTGCATGAAAGCAAACTACAAAAGGGCTGAAAAGGGAGCAACATATGTTTTACAATACTTTAATAGTGTTTTAAATATCAATCACTAGCTTACTGTGTGTCCATGTACAGTGGGCAAAATGTAGTAAATATTATGCCCCAGTGAAGTACTGTGATAAATGTAATCTACAAATAAAAAATGATCACCTAAGTATCCATCATTTAATTAATTCTACTGAAATAATAAATAAAATCTCTTGCGTTTTTTTTGTTTTGAATCTTGTATGACTGTTACACCTGTGTGCAAGATGTTCAAATATGAAGACTAGTAATAAAGCAACTACAACGATGAACCGTAAAGACAACAATCTGTGATTACTCAAAACAACTCTCAAAGAGAGTGCGCACACAATTGTTTTAACACTCTGACACAAAATAATCAAACTACTGTTTTTGAGTTTCACTTCGACTTCTACTATTTGTTTCCAATAATTTAGGAATGGATTTTAGGTGCCATGTCGTAAGCCTGCATTTCCCAGAATCCTCATCTCCTGCGCGACCTCGACCAATAAGGAGTCAATTGTTGAATGGGCGCAAAATCTGTTTGTCTCTTGTCTACACGCCTGCTGTAGACAGTAAACGTAACAGTACATTTAAGCGAGAAAACGGTGTAGTTTTAATGAACGAATTACAACCAACCTGGAAGACAAACTCAGCGCGAGCGTGCTGCCACTTGTCTCACCCCGTGTCGCGAGCTATGTTGAAGAAACTAGCTGCTGCTATCTTGGTGAACTGAGCTCTGACTGCTGTGCCAGCTAACACTCGCTAGCTCAACAATGTCTAGTCTTCCACAAAATAACTTGGAGGAGCAGCTTGCGAGGCACAGCACTGCTGCTCAGAGCAAGCTGTCTATGTCTAAACCAAAACCCGGGTAAGTTTACCAGCCAACAGCTAGCTTTGAGCTGTCAGCTCTGCTAACACATAGACACTGTTATCATTAGCATGTTTTCAACACAAACACAGTGGCGTTTTGTCATAGCTCTGTTACTAATGAAAAAACTGTATATCGTTTTTTTTTTTTAAATGCTCATTAAGTTGAGGTATCCAAAATTAGTAGTTTCAATTCAAGGCATGTTTCATACAGTATTTCATTATCTTACAGATAGCGAATGGAGGATACTCAAATGGTTAACTGTGTGGAATTAGCATGTTTCTAGCAAGACATGCTGCTACAGTCCAAATATGATTTAAGTGCCTCTGTTAAACTAATATGTGTATTGCGTCCTGCAGATGCTAACTCACAGTGCAGACTAACTGAGCACCTATCAAATATAAAACCAATCAGAACATGATCATCTGTACTCACTTCTGATCTCTGATCTAAAGCCCTGTGGCTGAAGCTCCCTCAGCTGCAGTGTAAAGTAAGGACAAATCCAACATGCGAGTCTTTGGATACTCTGTCTTAATATGTCAATGCTTAAACTAATACTATTGTTGAACGGTTTTACTCTCATCTGTTATGTTTGTCAGGAATTGAGATACAAAGCAAAATTGAGAAAATTGATTTTCAAAAGTTTCCACATATAAGAAAAAGATGTGACAACTGACAACACAAAAATAGAATTTTGTCTATCCTGTTAATTTAATCTTGAGTTGATCCTTTTGGAAGTGTAAGGTGGGTGTACCGAGAATACTGTAGTAAAAAGGCACATTTTTTATTTTACTTTGCTTTATTAAATACCCATGAGTTTGTGTGCTTTAGTCTTGTCGTGTTTATACTGTCATGGTGTGTAAGTATGTGTATGGACCCCAGGAATGAAAGCTGCTGCAATGCTGTAGCTAATGGGAATCATATTAAACCAAATATGTTTTTATATTTTCATTCTGGTTTATTTTACAGGGCCTTCTCCTTCAAGAAGAAGTCTTCATCAGGTACAACCAAGGTGGAAGTGCCAACTAAGGTAATCAGCTCTAATGTGTTGGCAAACAGAAATGTCAATGTACCTGATAACAGTTTGGTGACTAAGTCTCCTTTGACATTTTCAAAAAAGCTTGAGAGACCTCAAAAATCCAAAATCAACAGCTTCTTCCCTGTAAGTTCAAAAGGCAAGTCGGACTCCATCAGCCCAACAGGCCAGACCTCTCCAGCTGGGTCTGCTTTTAAGGTGATTACAGCTCCCACTAAATCTGACAATCAGACTTGTGGCAATGGAGGAATTCCCGCAGGTCTGGATGTTTCTCTTGGATTCCCGATGGATGACTGGGATGATTTGGATGACTTCGAGACACCTGTCAAAGCAAAAAATGACTCTTTTAGTTCAGAGATGTCCGGGAAGAGCGCAAATCCACCGTCCTCCCTAAGTGAGGAAAAAAGTTTAGCGAACAAGAATGTTTTTTCCAGAAGTGAACAAACTCACATAGAAACAGATCAAATGGAGCAGAGTTTGGACCAAACTGCAGCTTCACCAGGACCCGGATCCCCAGAGACTGAATACGAGGCCCCTCCGGTTAGAGTGACCAGAAGACCACCTCAGGCTCATCGGAAGTCTGTGGTTAGTGACAATGAAGAGGACAACCAGGAAGTGCTTGAGCCCTTTAAAGGAATGTCAGGTAAGAAGCTGTGTGATGCAGCATTTGGATTTAATTTGAACATTGTGGGTCTGGAAAGCATAGAATTATACCAAACGTCTTTATCTTTTGTCTTTTAGGCGATAACAACAAATGGATTGACCATAAGGTAATAAAGATTAATGACTCAGAGCCTGAAGATGATCTTGATTATATTCCCCCGTCTCCTGATGAGATCTTTTATTCTACCTCTGCATTGGAGACCAGGTCAGTGTGTTCACTTTTTAGTTTTTTCATCGCACATAATGTTTTTACTTGTGGGTATTTTCTATAACCTTATATTATTCAAATATTCATCATAAGTGCATCATGCATTTTGGACATAGATTTAAGATGGATTTCACCTGAAAGTGAATTAACAAAAATAAATACATTATTTTATTTCACACAGGTCTAAATCAGCTGCTGCTGTAAGCAAAGACCGCCCTCTGCCATCAAAGGGACCCAGCACAACACTACTTAAACCCTCCAACACCCACTCAAAGGACAATACAAGTACGTGTTTCACATTTCTGTTGTGTCTAGACTTGTGCATATTTTGTTTAGCAAATCAACACCCTGTTCCTAATTTCCATTTATTATTTGTCTTCTATCTTTGCCTCACAGATGAGCAACTCTTCAGTATCATGCAGTCCATTTGTTCTCTGGTTGACACCATCCCTGATAATGAACTAATAGGTCTGTCCTGTGGAAGTGAGCTTCTGCTGAAGAGGGCTCAAAGGTATGTACATTTGAGTATCAACAGCTTTGTTCTTAATCGTGATATTAAATATGACTACAATCGTCTGCCTCTCTCTCACAGGAAGAGGATTATTGTAAATAGCGGTGGCAGTTCCTTGACGTTCCAGCAGCCTGACAGCACTGTGATTTCTGAACCCAGCTTTAAAGGAAGATTGTCTTTGAGCTGTGAGACGTCTAGCATTATGTCGTCCAGCAGCTCAGCGCCCGCGGACCCTCAGATGCCTTCTCAGCTCAGGAGATCCTCACTTATCTCTGGGGACTATGACTCTGATCACTCTGACAGTATTATCAACCAGAAGGCCTTGCACAGTAAAAACAGCGGGACGATAAATGTGAAAAATCAGAGTTTGTGTGACTCTCCCTCGACCTACAGCCTCGCAAGCCCAGCATTTAATTTCTCGAACAAAACGAGCACAGACCTGGATGGTTCAGATCTCTTCTTCTCTCCCAAAACCCCAGTTCAGAACAAACCTAAGACGCCAGCAGCCAGTACAGCTGCAGAAGACATGGAGCACGATGACTTCTACAATGACTACTTTGACATAGATGATTTTAACGAGTCAGATATCCCTGATTACTTTGAAGAACCTCACAACTCCAGCTCTGTGACAGCAACAGGGAAAGAGGGGGGACCCAGCAAGTCTTCATGGGACAACAAACCAACAACACCTGTTCCCACACCGAAGACTTCAAAGATCTCCTCCCCTGGTAAATCTGCACGCCATGATATCATGTACTTCAACAATGAAATGTTTTCGGTGGGAAATGAACTGCTTCCAAATTCTCCGAGAAATGCATTTTTGAATATGAGCTAGTAACGTATATCATTCTTTGTACTAGTGTTTAGGTCGAAGCATGTTTCCAACAAGCTTTATAGAAATAACTTGTAATCTTTGAATACATTTTTGCAAACTTAAAACTGCAAGAATTGATCTTCCTCTATGGTGGTTACTTTTTATTATACTCTTTATAAATCCAAGCAGGCATAAGGGCTCTTTGCTCGACTCCTAAAGAAATGACGTATACACGATGATGAAGTCCTGCCCTGATTAGCCTGATGGTTTGTGCTGCATTTGATTCACTCACTATGAATGTTTCCCCATTCAGAACCCACCTACAGAAACCCAGCCCATGATCGCTTCAGAGGGTTCAACTTCCCCCACTCACCGGAGATGATGAAGATTTTTCACAAGCGCTTTGGTCTTCATCAGTTCAGGTTCAATCAGCTAGAAGCAATTAATGCGACAATTCTCTCTGAAGACACGTTTGTTTTGATGCCCACAGGTACGTGGTGATCTGAAGTTACAAATGAAGTTTATCTCGGCAACATATTCGGGGTAAACGCAGAACGAATGTCCACATTTCTCTGTGAATGATGCGTTTTTAGGTGGGGGTAAAAGCCTGTGCTACCAGCTGCCTGCCTGCGTGTTACCAGGAGTCACTGTGGTCATCTCCCCTCTCAAATCACTCATTCTAGACCAGGTCCAGAAACTCACTACTCTTGATGTAAGTATGTTTGCTCCTGTTGATCAACTAGATCTAACTGTACTGTTGTTGAAAAAGACTAAACATTTTTTGATGAATTTTTTTAAATGAATTGTTGTTGGAAAAAGAAAAATGTATTTTTGAAGTAATAGGATTATAATTGTGTTGTTTTTTTTAAAACAGAAAATATGTACATGCAAGTTTATCTTTGTAATTTATGTGCCTTAAAACAATAAAGCGTCTAAAAATTGAAAAATTGAATTGATCAACTAGATCCATATCAAATACTCATAGTGTGTATTAAGTATTTTTTAACGTCTTGCATTTCAGATCCCAGCAACAACCCTGACTGGTTCAATAACTGACAGTGAAGCCGGAAGGATTTATATGCAGCTCTCACGGAAAGACCCCATCATTAAACTTCTCTACGTCACCCCTGAGAAGGTGAGAAATTGTTGATTTATGATCTCAATTTTGTATAATTTCTTGCTTGTTTACAATAAAGGGAGTAGTATCTCTGATGTTTACTCATGATGATTTTTCATTCCCAAAGTTGTGTGCAAGTAACAAGCTGATCTCCGCCCTGCACAACCTGTACGAGCGAGGCCTTCTGGCCCGCTTTGTCATAGACGAGGCCCACTGTGTCAGCCAGGTGTGTGTCAGCTGCCTCCTACACCATCCGCAGTATGCTTTGATCTTTGCAGCCATTGTGTATCAACCTGCGACTTTGAACATTTCAGTGGGGTCACGATTTTCGCCCGGACTACAAGAGGTTGCATGAGTTGCGTCAGAAGTACCCAAAGGTCCCGATGATGGCGCTGACGGCCACTGCCACCCCCCGAGTGCAGAAAGACATCCTCAACCAGCTGAACATGACGCGGCCGCAGGTGTACGTGCTCCTCTCTGCCTCTGTCAGACTTTTAAATGGGTTCTATCTTAATATTTGTTTTCTATGTTTTTTTAGGTTCACCATGAGTTTCAACAGAACAAACCTCAAGTACACTGTCCTTCCCAAGAAACCCAAAAAGGTTGGCGAGGAGTGCACCATGTGGATCAAGAAGAACTACCCACGTAAATAATTCAGAAGTACTTTTTGTGATCCTGGTTATTTTTAGAAAACTGACATCACTGTCCTGGTGTAAACTATCTGTCTGCGAACACACTCTGAGGTCTGTCATATCCAAGCAATGCTGAAAGGACAGTTATATAAAATGTCTTATTTTTGAGCTTGTATTAGAAATCATTTCAAATCAAACGTACAATTGCTTTGGAATAATTCTTGTAACAAATGAAGGAACATTGGTGAATATGTTGTTGTCAGTGATTGCAGACCCCCCCCTCTGTCCTTTGTTTATTAAGCTGCATTTCTGCCTGTTGCAGGAGACTCTGGCATAGTGTACTGCCTTTCCCGTAAGGACTGTGATGACATGGCTCAGAGTCTGCAGAGATCACACATATTAGCTCTGGCCTATCACGCAGGCCTGGGAGACAGCGACAGAGAATACGTGCAGTCCAAGTGGATCAACCAGGACGGCTGCCAGGTGAGTCGCCACTCGCTCACTGATACCACCTGAAGAGCACTAATGGATACAAAGCAATGAACACTTTTCAAGTCTTACAAGAGCACGATTTTAAAATGGACATGTTGTATTCTTGTGTGCCAGGTCATCTGTGCCACCATAGCCTTTGGCATGGGCATTGACAAGCCTGACGTGCGCTATGTGATCCACGCCAGTCTGCCCAAGTCAGTGGAGGGTTACTACCAGGAGTCAGGGAGAGCGGGCAGAGACGGAGACATCTCTCATTGTATTCTCTTCTACTCCTACTCCGACGTGCACCGCATCAAGAGGATTCTCACTAGTATGTTGCAAAAATATAGACTCCTCGTATTGCATGCAAAATGTATGTGGATGTTTTTTTACATGTAGAAAATAAGGTTCTTCTCCAGCCTATACAATATTTCAGGGTGTTTTCATGTTTACTTTCCAAATGACTATCTCTTTGCGGAAAAGCGCTATAAAAATCCAATTGATTATTATTGTTATTACTTATATATTAGTCATGTTGACTCATATTGCTCTTTCTTTTTTAAATCCCAGTGGACAAAGAAGGGGACAGACAGGCCAAGACGACTCATATGAACAACCTGCACAGCATGGTGCACTTCTGTGAGAACATGATGGAGTGCAGGAGAATTCAGCTGCTCGCATACTTCGGGGAGCTGAAGTTCAACCGAAGCTTCTGTAAGGAGCACCCAGACGTCAGCTGTGACAACTGCGCCAAACCCAACGTAGGAGTCATTCATTTCTTCAATTGTTACAAAGCAAATCCAAACTCAACTCAGCAGTTTTGTCTAATCCAGCAATATTGTTTGATTATGCCCATGTACAGCAATACAAAGTGAGAAATGTCTCTGATGATGTGAAGAAGATCGTGAGGTTTGTCCAGGAGAACTGCGAGAAAGTCGGACAAAGGTTTGGCCGGACCGCTCAGCAGAACAGACTAACACTGAACATGTTGGTGGACATCTTTTTAGGTAAAGTACCTGCACATGCCTGTAATGAAAGCCATTTTGCCAGTGAATCCTGCACGGAGTCTTGTGATGTTTATACTTCCTGTGGCAGGAACTGGGATTGATCTGATGCACAGAATTGTTTCTCTCCGTCAGGGTCTAAAACTGCCAAGGTGCAGACGGGAATGTTCGGGACAGGAGGAGCCTACTCCAGGCACAATGCTGACCGACTCTTCAAGAAAATGGTTCTGGACAACATCCTGATGGAGGATCTGTACATCACTCAAGGCGGCCAGGCTGTGGTGTATATCTCTGCCGGAGACAAAGCCATGAACGTGCTGTCAGGAAACATGCAGGTGATCTATAACGACCCTAGAGAGCTAGATATGTAACATTTAAACACTCAAAACACTAACCAGCACATGTCTGATCTCAGGTGGAGTTCTACGAGACGGAGAGTGCGTCGAGCATCAGGAAACACAAAGCTGCTGTGTCTAAGGACGTCTCCCAGAGAGAGCAGAAGGTGCAGGAGTGTCTGAAGGAGCTGCTGGATCTGTGCAAGCAGCTGGGGAAGGCCTTTGGCATTCACTACTACAACATCTTCTCCACCGCCACCTTGAAAAAGATATCTGGTAACTTGTGGAACAACTGTTAACACTGCTTTAAATCTGTTGTATGATACCACAAGCATTTTCTAACTTGTTGACATTTTCCAACAGAGAGGCTTTCTTCCAACCCTGAAGTCCTCCTACAAATTGATGGCGTGACGGAAGACAAACTGGAGAAGTACGGAGCCGAAGTCGTCCAGGTGCTACAGAAATACTCTGAGTGGCAGCAGACGGGTAAGAGAGCCATTTCAAGTTTTTACATTTTTAAGTTGTTTTTAACACATTTACTTTGTGACTTTCTGCACATTGATCCTACTGTCTCTGTAATAGAGGAACCGACTGACACGGCTGCAGACGGCTGGATAGACACGGCGCAAGGCCGCTCATACGGAGGGGACGAGGAGGACGCAGAGTCCTCCACCTACTTCGGCAGTCAGTCAGCTCAGGGGCAGAAGAGAAAGAAAGCGCCATTCTTCAAATATGCTAAGAAGAAAGCTTATGGCAACCCAAGTGCCGGCGCTAAAGGGTCTGTATTGTGTTTGTCTCACATTCTATCATGTAGCTGAGGATCGTATTTAGCACTAAGCTTATCTTTACAGTTGGCACTTATTTCCTCTTTTCCTCCTGTCTTGCTGTGTTGCGGATTCAGTCGTGGCAATGACGGCAATAAGGCGTGGTCATCGTCGAACTCCAGAGGGGGTTATAAAGCTGCTGCAGGCCGGGGGGGCAGAAGCTCTGCAGGAGCTGAATCAGCAGGCCGGACCCCGGGGTTTATGGCCGTCCCGACCCCTCAAGCCTACCAGAGACCCTTCCTGAAACCAGCCTTTTCACACCTGGGCTAGGCCCCTGGATCTGACGCTTTGAAACCAGTTGTTGTCAGTAATTGTTGTCAGGTATTTACCTGTTATTGATAATGCTAAGGTTGTATATGTATGCTTTGTACAGTTGTTGTCAGTGTTTGTCCAGATCTTTTATTGACTTTTGTAATTCTCATTTTGACCTGTCCACTTTGATGGAAATCCTTCTTTTTTTTAATTAAAGACTAATTTAACACTTTTTCAGATGATTTTCTTCAGTAGATAAAAAGCAAGCTGTGCTGAATTTGTGTGGGTACCACAAAGCCACAGAGCCATAATGCATTTATTTTTCAATGTTTATTTCAAGTTTGAATGGTTGAATTGAATGGCACCAGTTACAAGAGAATATTGGAGAGAAACAATATTTTATACTGACTTGTACAGGAGGTAACCTACAGTACAAACATGGGTTCGGAATGGATCGAACAAGAACTGGATTTGGCACATGGATTTATATATTTATACTGATATATATATAATGCAATTAAATGATCTACACTCAGGATAGAACAATGCAGACCACATAACACACCACCTGATCTGAATATGCATATACATTAACTGCAGTGATGTGTATGTACTGTGTGAGGGTCTACTGCGAGCTGATGGCCAAAAAGCAGATTCAGATGTCTTCAGTTATGAACACTTCCAAATGTCAACCCCTCACTTCTACATGCATCATCCACAATCTGGCAGGGATTTTGGCCAGGAGTTAAATTAAGGTAACCAATTGTGAATAAATCATTTGATTGCTCTCATATTAACTGGATTATGTTATAAAAAAAATCGACACCTTAGTAACAAAAATATTAAAGGATGACCAATGAAAACCTTCCTTTGTCATAATTGCCTATGTTGGTTTTTGAGACTTAAGATTTCACATGATTGCTATAAATACGTAGGGAGAGGCCATATAACAAAAACACCTTACAGTACAACCTTAGAAAAGCCCCGTAACATCCCTTTGACACGTCTTATGAAATGTTATAAGTAGGGTCTGTTTCTTGTTTGTTACATGATATAATGTGGGTGTTTCTGTTATTTAGTCTATCCCCTGTGTATTATATTCAAACAAGAATCAATGCATCGTCTTCAACGCACCACATTGTATTGGCAGGCTGTACCTTCACTGCTGCTTTTTTAAGAGACGGACAAGTTGTTTCTGATCTGTAAACCATGGATGACAATAACACTTCAAAAGTCAACATCTGATCAGAACTGCAGACATATCCCATGAAGTAAAATAACAGTAACATAATGTAAACATGAAACTGAAATGTAAAATGAAAGGTTTTTCAGAGGAAAAAGGACAAATTAAGACAGACAAATAGTTGCACACAGATGTGTTTCCCTCTCGACGTGGGAGATTTAAGAATGGAGCAGTCTGTAGTACAGTTGTGAAAGATGCTGTGTCTTTCATTTCTCCATTCCTTCATCTTTGTCACTTTGGTAAACTGCAGTTCGGATCCAGGCACAAGAAACACTCACTGTCACTTAACAATGAAACATCGAAGAAAACAGCAGAACAAACATCCACACAGAGGTTTTTAAGGAACATTTGTTTTTAGAAAATGTTATCCATGACCGCAACAGTAACTACGTGTCTCAGTGGTCACTTCATTGTTAGAGTCAGCACAACAGCAATTTGGTAAGTGATTTTCTAGAAACAGAAAGGACGTATTTGACTTACTAATTTTCAAACATAAATGTGTATATCCTCGTACAGCTGATTATTGCTCTTTGAATAATGCTGCCTTTTTTTTTTACACTGTTGCATGTTCAGAGGGACGACTAAAGCTACATAATGCTGATCAATGTATGCACCTTTGCAGACTGGCCTTGAATATGTCCTACTAACAACTCATCCCCTTGACCTGTATGTCAGTAAAGAAGTAATAAATATGAAGAATGAATGTGCACAAAGAAGAAAGCCCACCCTTCTCCTTCCCGTAGGGAAAATGTGCTTCATCTCCACATTGCTATTTATCTGGATGTATCCAAGTTACACATTATTATCTTGACATAAGCTCCTGCAGTGTAGGAGACCAGGGACAGTTGTAACACGGGTCGGTTAAGTAACACCTTCAATATCTCCAATCACAAACAAGCTAGAGTGATGAAACTCACTCTGCACATGCGCAGTTAGATGGTAAGATCGCTGAGAAAAAAAAGAGCCACGTTTGAATTTCTCGCGTAAGATATCAGTAAAAGTGTGTTTCTGAGGTAAAATATTAACACAAATTATATGATGTATTTTTTGGATACTGTCTTGAGTTCAAATGTCTAGGAATCCAAACTAGTATTATTAGAATCACTGTTTTGTAAGCTCCAAATATAACTAGCTAAATATGGGTCAAGCTAGCAACCAGGCAGGTTCACGGGGTGGAAGCAAGACTGGTGGTCCTGGGACGGTTGTAACGGGACGGTTGTAACATGGCACATTTACAATGGTGGCTCATTTGCTTGAATGATCAATTGTTCATTCAAGCATACAGTTGTATTGTTGGTTGGTGTGCATTGTCCCTGTAAAAATAAACAGAATATAATACTGTACATTAGGCCTAAAGTGTGTGTGTGTGTTTACAGTATGCCAAATGTCAGAAAGAGGAAGACAGACAGGGGAGTGCCACTTGCTCTGCTGCAGGGGGCCTCAAATGATGTTGAGAAGGGGAAATCATTCAGGGAAGTAGCAAAGTCCCTGGATATATGCCATGTCACCCTGTACCGGTTCCATACAAAGAGGCTGAGGTTGGAGAGTCAGGGATCACAAACACCCCCAAGAGTAGGCTACTAGACACCAAAGAAGGTGTTCTCAACAGAGCAGGAGATGCTTTTGAGAGACTACCTGATGGAGGCATCTGATTTATATTATGGTCTCAGCTCAAAGGAGGTAGGTCTACATAATTAAGGTAGAAGCACCTCTCAGAGAACAGTTTAATCCTTCACAGAGGATGATGCTGTGTGTGTTATCTGTTATCCTGTTCATTGTTTGTTGGAGGATGTGTGAAACCCCATTCAAATCTTGTTGCCTTCGAATTTGACAGCTTTCCCTATTTGTTGTCATGTAGTGTGAAAAAGGTAACCGTTATTAACATGTTACAACCGTGCCTGGCATGTGTTACAACTGTCCCTGTAGGCCTACACGAGGACAGTTGTAACAGTTGAGTTTAAAAAAACAAAAACATTTTCCAACCTGTACTTATTTCATAAAAACATCTTAAATACATTGTTTCAGTAGCTGACATATTGATAATGTATAATATAGCAAAATGGCTATCCTATTGTAAATGTTTTTTTACTTATTGGGGAAAAACCCCAAAAGTGTTGCAACTGTCCCTGGTCTCCCCTATGTATGACAGGTTTCTGGCCAACATAGCTCTAATGATTTTATATTCCCTCTAGCGTTCCGCTGGGAAATGTCGGTGCTGCTCCCTCGACTCGACCACAGATAACTGGTGGAGGATAACAAGCTACAGGAGTGGATCCAGCCACAACGCCAAAGTGCATGCTACTCTGTGGTCAAGACTACAACTCAGCCCCGGACGGACACGCTCGGATTACTCAGGAGCAACAAGGAAGGTAGCACCGTCGGGACTTCAGTGGAGCAGCTGCTGGTAGGAGAGGGTCGGCTTGGAGATAGCAGGCCAAAACAAGCAACCCTGTACAGCCATTGGAGTGATGACTACCCGAGTGCCTTTCATTCCCAATCTGTTTCTTAAATCACACTTTTAAAGAGCTTCTCCCAAAGGCCTCTGATATCTCTCAGTCTAATCTACCTCATTTCATTTAATCCTTCTCATGCTCTTTTTTACATGTTTTTATTTGTACTCCTCTCCATCTAATACTACCACATTGAGCCCTGTTTCCATTCCTACACACAGACAGAGTAACACTTACACCTGCACTTGGTGCAGGAGGTAGACACGCAATATAAAAAACAGATTTTACCCAGAATCCAGCAGCCTTCAGAGTTATTGCTTCTTGGAGCTGAGAGGGAGAAGCGCCTAGAGCCTGACCGACAAATCTAAGGGCAGGCATTATTCGCCAATATGCGCTTTTCGGATATGTTGGTGCTTTAGTTTTGGCTGATATAATATTCCAGGAAAGTAATTTAATTGCATTATTACAAAAAAAGAATCGGCACAAGAAACCTTTAAAATGTAGTACTTATATTATGCAGTTTCCTGCCTGGCCCATTTCATTATTAATTCTCAGTCTTTTAGTGACAAACTTTTGTTCGGGGCACCAACTAACAATTATTTAAATAACGCTTCATCTGTCCATTTTTTTCTAGTTTAATTGATTAATTGTTTGGCCAATAAAATATCAGAAAATAGTGAAAATCTCTCAACCAACAGCAATATAATTTAAATAGATTTATTTCATCGTACCTACAAAACCTAAATAAATTCAATGAACAATAATGGAATAAAAGATATCAGAAAACCTTCAAAATATGTTTTTCAGCTCTAGTAATGATGTCAATATTTTATTTTTTTATTTTTACATTGAGTATAGGCCATGGGTTTAAGGAATAAGTGAAAAGACTCGGTATCGGTCAGGCTAGAAGTCACCTCTCTAAACTCTTCAAGTAAAAAATACATATTGTAAAGTTATGTAAATGTGCTTTTGGATTATTTGGTATTTGTGGTGGTATAATGATATCTGCAGATTTCCTTTCGTAGAGACATGTTCATTTACATTGCTGACTGACTGCTGGTGGAGTGATACGGTGTGAACAGTGTTCAGTGGATCTGGATAAAAACCCTGTTCTTTAGTCCCCACTTCCACATTTCCATAAATACTTCTGACCTTACACAGTGCTAAAAAAGGTATAATTTAATCTTCAATAACAAAATAACATTTCAGTTCTGTTAAAATATACATGGAAAACCTGTCAATATATATTAGGAAACAAACTAATTTGTACAAAAAGTACATCATTATTCTTATTCTAATAATAATAATAATATATAGTATGTTACATAAACCTAAGAGCTAGGTTGATATGAAACCAAAATAAATCATAAACTCTTCATACAAAGAAATTGTTGAAATTCATCGAATTTCAACTAGATGAAAAAATGCAAATCAAATTAATTGGAGAAATAAGAGAACAACTGAACAAATGAGCACATTCAAAGTACTTCATTATTCAAACCATATGAGCATTGCACCTCTATCTAGACTATAATCTATGGTGCCAGCAAATCTTTCTGAATACTCCTCTAACTGCTTCTGACACTACTGGGTCACATAACACTATTGGTACTGGTTTATTTGACTGTATCCCTATAAAATGTTAGAAAAACTCCCTTGTTCTTCATCAGTTTACTTTGTTCACCATTGTATACTAAAGTGTAATGGTGTCTTAAAACAACTTTCAATCATCAACATCTTCTCAAAAAGGCATTTGGTAATCATCCCGTCTGCTCTCTGTTTCATAAACCTTCATTTTTATTCCCTTCAGATTGTTCTGTTTTTTCCCGCTGAGTTGAATCTGCCGTTTGTCTAAATGCATCTGATGGGGATGAACCAAAATCAAACGATATTATAATACAGTGCCTCATATATTCTTCAGAGCAGTATCGACCCTGACATAACTCACTTCCATCTTCATTTAATGACAAATCAACTTCCTCGATTGCTGTTTATCTCTTTCCCTTCTCTTGCAAATACACGTTTAAAACAATTAATGCAACTCTCCAGTCCTTGTGATAGGAACTGTTTAAACATCTCCAGTCCTTTGATTCCAGTTTTAATTTTTTTCCTTTGTGTTATTTGAAAAAATAAAATACCTGAAATGAGTTGAAATAAAAAAAATGCAAAACATGTCCTCTGGTTTTGTAGAAAAAAAGAAGAAGAAAAGAAGCGAAACGAGGAGGTGGTTGGGTGGTGGGGGGGGTAAATCAAATTGGAGGAGAGGAGGAGAGATCCTGCCTGGTGAGAGGCTGTGTCTGCAGGAGGAGGATGAGGAGCAGGGTTCATGTTGGGGCCGAGGCTGCCCTTCATCGCTCCGGAGTCCTAACCGTCACCTCAGACCCCGAGCGGGCTTACGAACTCTACGACCTCCCCTCACTTGTTAATGAGCAACCCGCCCACCCAGCGGAGCTTGCAGGCAAACCACCGCCTGAGGGGACAAAAGTATTCGAAATGGAACTGCTCAAATTCGGGGGTCTGGCGGATATCACGTAAAAATGCAATGTCAAGGTCTGACTCTGTGAGGATGATGAGGAGGAGGAGCAAGACAAAGAGGAGTCCGATGGTCACAAGGAGCAAACGCAGGACGCTCAAGACAAATTTATTCACCTGTTCCACCTCGCTGAGGGTCGAGTCCCCCCCAGCACCCTCCTGTGCGGATTTACCCTCCGCACCTAAATCTCCCCCATCCCCACGCGGGGTGCCTGCCTCCGACTCCTTCTCCTCCTCGATGCTGCAGGGCGCCCCGTTGGTCTGGCGGGAGGCGGACAGCTCCGCGCTGTGCTCGGACACCGGGGTGGGCAGCACGCTGTCGGAGGGGCTGTACGCCTCGTCAGAGATGACCGCAGTCCTCTCACTGGCGTCTGTGGCCTGGCTCCGGGAGCGTGGCATGAAATCCCCATGGGACACTGAACGCACCGGCGTGGAGTGGGCACTGTCACGCAACGACTCCAGACCTGAGGGAGGGGTTCAGGGAGGAAGAGCGGGAGGGAAACAGACAAGAAGAAAGGAATGTTACACAGGTTTTACAGCATGATAAGTGTTTTATAAATGTAGAATCTATAAGCTACTAGTGTGGCGTTCACTGACACGTTATACTGTAAATCTGCTTCCAAATGCTGAGAGGTAAATTCTGCTGTTTGTGCAACAGAGCAGACACACAGTTATGGAATGCTCTTCTATAGTATAGTATAGTCTATACAGTCTCTAGTAGTTTCATAGAAAGCTCATGAGCTGATGTGATGCCTTATCATCCTCCCTAATGGAGGAGATCATCATGTTTCACTTGTACTGGAAGTGTAGAGTTTAACCGCAGAGAATACAAGTTAGTTAAAAAGCTAGTTAAGATAGCCAACATCGTCTTTATCTCGACTCTATCGGAGTCCTTATCCTTAAAAATAAAAAGAGATTACAGCCATGATCCTACTTTAGATATTAGATGACTTGATATGTCTCGGTTGTGTTAAATACTTGTAAAGGAACGCTTGACCTTTAAACAGAGCTGCAATGAAACATAAATACAAACCAGAAGGATCAAGGATATGCTTACATACCATTCTGTGTTAAAACCACACTGACAAGCCCTGTTCTAGAAAAACAAATATCACAATATTTTTTGACCAAATAGCTTGATATCGATTTTGCTAAAACATTGCAGGGTTCACTCTTGTGCTTTGAAGAAATATTTTAAAAGCACAAAAATGGGATTTTTGATAAATAATCATCAGTAATTATGACATAATGACTAACTGGGAAATAATTGAAGCGCTAGAACAGTCTGCTACATTTACTAAATTAATTCACTTTACTATATCTATATTGTGAAGTTAAACTTCTGTTGTTGCAATGTTGAGGTAGAATGAAGGAGTCTGGAACGTCGTTAGCCAAAGCACTGAGAGTTTATTGAACACAGTACAACAATACGGCCGGGAGGTCACTTGGTTTCACACTCTCCTGTGCCTCCACCAAATCATCTCTGACCCGAAAAGAACCACAGCACGCATCAACATGAGGAGAGGCGGGCTCTCAGAAACCCGCGTTTACCTAATCAATAGCAGATGTGAGGCAATAATCTGCTTGTCACAAAGAAATGCAGGCAGGCCTGGACCCTTCCCCCACAGGATATGGGAGAAGCGTTTGACCTGTGACCTCAACCTACAGAGGAGTTTTTGACTGATACTACAACAGATGTTTGCAGTATCACAGATTCTAATAAACTGTAAGAAACTCTATAATCAAGATCAGAGTAAAATATTCTCTTACATATATAATATAACAATATCTATATAATATTGAAGTAGCCATAACCTGTCAACATTGGCTGCGAGGACATCCCTTTCCAATGTTATTCAATATAACAGGAGAGGGGTTCTTTAAATCCACAGTCTTGTCAATTTTTGCAATGTTCAGCTGAAATGATATGACTAAATATATGTGGCCTGCAAACATGTTTAACAGAGCTAGTTAGCCGTAGTGTTTTGCATAAACACTGAGCAGTTGAAGCAACCAAAAATTGTCGCATTTTGAAAAATGTAAATCAACACGCTTTTATCAACACCAAACAGTCAAAGACTACCAACCAAAAGGAAATGGCAGGCAAACATATTTTAAATCCACAAGAATGAGCTAGATAATATATTATTTTACTGTATATGCCATTTGATATTGTGATGAAGGAAAGTCTGTATATGGATAAATAGCAAGACTGGTATAACTGTTAAGGCCAATTGCATCAGATGTAACATCCAACAAATCAAAATACTTCATGAAATTGAAACTAAAATCATACATAACTTAAAAAAAGTCATAAAACAGTGACGCTTATTGACTTGCAACATTTCCAACAAAGTTGATACTAGATATCAAAGGAAAACAGGAACTTCCCATGGTAGAAAGGGTATGGTAAAACCTGAAATGTATATCTGCATATGTAAAAGTCTCTGTACAGTCCCATCTGCAGTATGAAGTGACAGTACAGTATGTGAGAGAGAGCCTCACAACAGTGTACATGTCAGTGAGGATGAGCCCTTTGCTGACCCTATCACATTCTCCAGAGCAACACTACACCTTCACTTTAATGGAAAAGATTCAAATTAATCTTTTGTTGAGGAAGCAAATCATAAAAGGGACTTTTTTTAAAACTGCAGGAAAGGTAGGACCGATTATGTCCGGTGCCTAAGCTTCTGCTGACTTTAAACTTCTGTCAAACTAAAAGGAGGCATACAGGCTGAGTGACTGTCAGCGGCCATCTTTACTCAGTGTTGATCTGCCACTGCTTACATTAAGCTTACCACATGAAAGCAACAAGCTGAAAAAACATGACCTTTTTATTTTTATTTCACAAGTTGTTAACTTTAAGAGAAATGCCAATAAAAACACTTCACCTCTTAATTTACTGTTTACTGGTTGAAACCAAATATAGCTGCAAGATCAACAAATAATTCAACCAACAAACAAAACAAACAAAAAAAAAACGTTTTTTTATAGCCCTCCAAAAGGCACAGACACACAGAGGAATGGTGCTGCTCCCACACCACCATTGCTGAGGCAGAGACTGATTTAAACCTGAGAAAGCCATTGCCACTTCCATGTAAAGCACACCGCTGGCTAGCTCTGGGATGAGTTTACCTGGAGGGTTGCTGGGTTGAACGGGGGGCAGTGGAGTGCCAGGTAGAGGGGTGACGCTGGCGGACTCCTCCTGCCCCGTCAGGGAAGGGTAAAGGGGGAGGACGCCCAGGGCCTTGCCCAGCATACGGGGCCCGAGGCTCAGCACGCGAACCTTCACATCCCGATAGCAATGGTTGATCATACGCAGGTGGACATTCACCCGGGTGGTGATACGGATCAGACACTTCACCATGGCTGCGGCATGCACGTGTTTATTCCGTCCTTATGGTCCCTGTCCCGGAGTCCAGGCCACAGTCTCCCTGTGTGTGTGAGTGTGTGTTGGGCCAAAGGGATCAGCCTTAGTTGCAGTTAGCGGAGAGGAGTGTGTGAGGTAAAACGGTGGCTTTCTGCAGCAGTGCTACAATCGTCACCATTGGTCTGGCCTGCTTTGGCCACACCCGGGCCAGTGACATACATGGAGCAGAAGACCCAGGGTATTTTCAGCTGGGGTATTAATACCACTGTAAGACATCCAGTCAGCACACACTGGGGGTGGAAGCTCTTATGGCTCTCTTGAATCAGCAGCAAAAGACCCTCAATATACACAGTACACCTGCTCCTGACATCTATTTTATCTCCCTGTACAAAGAGGTACAGTATGTACTTGAAAGGTAGAGTCTATCGGTCTACTGCTGTTTTTACCCAGAGCCATGGAGAATAGCACGCCTGCTGCACCCATCTCAATGAGGCCACCTGTTCCTGTTTGCAGGTGGTCTGAACGAGTGAGCTGCCACTGTGTTGGCCCATCAAATAAACAACCACTAAAGTTCACACACACAGCTCTGAAACTGCATTGAAGTGGAGCAGGCTGACGTACACACCTGCAGCGTGTCCCACCAGGGCCGCAAGCATCAAGTGGGCCAAATGGCTCAAGTTACAGCATGTGTGTGTATGTGTGTGGGCAGAAGTATGTTTTCTCAAGAAGGGGGAGGAGTTGGCACAAATTGGACTAAAGGCTCACTAATACATTAAAGACTTTGGAGCAGCCAGTTGTAACGCATTATCAGTAATTATATCTGAAGAGAGAAAATAACCGCTGCCAGGAAGACTGGTATAAGTATTAAGGTCAATTTGATCAGATTTAACACCCAACAAATCAGTATACTTCACAAAAATTATAGATCAATTCAAAATAATCATAAAACAGCAATGTCTGACATGTTTCAGTGTGTGAGGATGACTGTGTGGGAGGCATTTACGGAATACATGTCTTGTAAAACACACATTTGTCCCCAGCAGGTCAGTGTTTAGGCCTTAGGAGAAGTGTAGGAGTGCAGCTCAGTTCTTACCCTCCATAATAGAAATGTGCACGGCTCTCCGACGTGTGCGCGGTACACTGGTGAGGCGAGGCCCGTGGGTGATGGATGGACAACTTCTGCTGGGCACCAGGCCAGCCCTGCGGAGAACAACAAAGATACAGATGCAGTAATGTAACTGCAGAGAGATCACTACAAGTGGAGGTAACTCATACTGTAGCGTGTAGGTGTTGGGGATTTAAAGACATCTACAGTAGCTTGGTGCCTAAGAAAATAGAGGAAACCAAAACAAAAATCTGATTGAGGACATTCTGAGCTCTCGTGAGTTTAAAACTCTACCTGTGTATTTCTGGAGGTTCGCGTTTGATTTTGGCACTCTGCTCCATCACCTCTTTTGCCACTCGTCCACTGTTGTAAAGCACAGAGACGATGCTCAGGATGAGTTTCACATACACACACATACACACACACATTCACACACAGGTAACTGGTGTCAATCAATGCCATGAAAGCCATCACTGCAGTGGATGAGTACACTGCATGAGCATCATGATTGAATCAACCCGGTGAATTCAGCTTTGTGAAAGTGAACTACCATCAGTCAGACAAATGCACACACAGACCTGCAGGCAAATAAATCATAACGATGATCCCTTCAACAGTAAACTCAAAATGTAACTGACTGTGACTATAGTACACTAACAGTTTCTAAAAATTACTTGACATCCCTAAAACACAAAAGGGCAATTTTATCAAAATTAAAATCTATTTTCTCATTTATCTCTAGTAGTTTTGGTTTTCACAGTCCAGGTTTTTTGAGATATCCATATTTAACTAGGGCTAATTGTATTAGTATATAGGAGTTCCAATGAAAATTAAGCAAGGTTTTTGGATTTATTTATGGTTAAAACATTGAACTGTATCTACAACATTTCTTTAGCTGGATATCTCAAAATCTGAGCAAATAAAACAAAAACTGTAATACCAGGCTAGAAAATAAGTGAGAATTAAAAAAAATATATTATTTATGTGACCTGATCCTTTAATAAAAAAGGACAATGACTTAGCTATACAGCAAGGTGATAATGCTTCATGTGATCTCTTTGGTTTTCCCCTCTGTGTCCTCTTGTGAGGTGTCAGTACTATCCTCTGGGCTAAAGAACGCTGACGTAACAGCACAGAGGGCCAGGAGGCCACGTCTTCTGGGAACACTTCTATCCACTTCCAGCTGGGGGTGTTCTGCAGTGTCCTCCCCTCCCTGTCATCAGTCATAGTGTCTTGTTGTGTACTCTACCTGAAACGGAAACGACTGCCCTTGAAGAACAGGTTGCTGCTGGACACCGTGCGAACCTGACTTGACTTGTCAAGCCTGAAAAAAGAGAAAGAGAAATGAAGCCTACTGCAGCTAAACAAGAAAAACAGGAAGAATAACTACAAGTACAAACTTAAAATATAAACAATTCCTGACTGACTATTATAAGAATATGATCCAACAGTTCAAGCGTGAATATATGAACTTCCTGCCTTCTGGATCCCAGAACAAGCAGAAACTAGGATCAAATGCCCTGCTGTTAAATTATGCATGCCCTCTCCTCGCAGTGTAGGCTGTGCATCCTCGACTCCATACAGTATTCAATATGTTTATATTGTCATAGTAAGTGAGACATTAATGTTTCATGTTTCATTTAGCTTTCAATGGATTTGTGTGCTTCTCCGAAAGACATCTTTATCACATGTCCTTTTGCCTTTCAGTTCCTCTGACTCCCCTCAGCATGGTTTTAATGAGCGGGAGGCTGATAATCATCAAAAGGTCCCATCACATTAACTTTAATATGGGTGCTAAGCTCTGCCCTTCCCATACCCTCTCTCTCTCTCTCCATATGCTAACCCCCCCTTTGCACCCTTCACCACTCTGAAGCCAGCCAGCTCACTTGTTTTTTTAAATCACCTTTCCTGAGCTGCAGAGAACAGAGGGGACCAGCACTATTATTCATGGCCCGAGACAGGGGGTCATATCTCAGAGGGGGCACTGAAGTGCTTGCAGTCTCGTGCCAGCGAACACTCATTCAATAAAAGGTCAGGGGCAACTCACACCTAATTTTCCCCGCTCACAAACAACCCGAGGGGATTGGGCTTTTAAGGACAGCAAGATACCGTGATGGTACACAACCCGACAGCGCTCAAAGATGCAGAGCAGGCAACTAAATCATGACAGTGCAGGAGAATAATAGGAACATTGAAGATAAACAAAAGAAGAGATTTGTTGACTTACTTGTAGAAAGCTTGGTTCTCCACTCCACACTTCCAAAGATGCTTGCAGGCCTCCGGTGTGGGCGCAAAGTATGTCAAGATGATCTTTTGGTCCTGCACATTGAAATAAAGAGTATTTGCAGGAAAATATAACACACTGAGACAGAAAACAAACTCATTATGCAGTGCTGGGTTCCCTCTGCCCCCCAAATGCAACAATACTTAAACTCACCTCCTTCTGATTTGCATAAACGTGAAACGTCTTGCCTTCGAATTTCAGTTTGGTCACCTCGTGCCTGTCCAGGAGAGACCGTCACAGATGAAACAAAGCAGAAACAGAAAGCCACAGAGCTCTTTAAATATTCATGACAACCACTTTGAGATCACATAAACAGCCACGGAGCTCTGTGTTTGCCTGATAAAACAAATAACTGATAATATTCCCTGCAGACTGGGAATGGAGAATGAGGAAACCTGAGCGTGCTGAAGGCAAACAAACAGAGCCAGAATAAATACTGCAAACATAGTAAGTCTGGTTTCATTAGTGTAACAGGGACCTTTTCAGTTAAAAGCAGAAAGCTACAAATAAATGCACCATCTTGTACATATTTTCAATTCATCAGTAAAGCAATAGGCTGAATTCAAATCAGTAGGCGTAAACTGTTGTAATTAGCCATCTGTGCACATACTAACTGCGGGCTCTTCACAGGTAGAGGCAGATGGATTAGCTTTGTTGAGTGTTATTGTGCAACCAGCTGTAGTGCTGTTTAATGCATATTATGCCTGTATGTGTTTGTTTGTCTATCTAACTTCCTGCAAATAGGAGGAGGAGTGCTCTGTCTCTGGCTCACATGAAACAGTTTTGCATGTTTGGCTCACCATTTGAGAAAATGAACCCTCTTGTTTCCCTGAAGCACCACGAAGCCAAACGGCGTGAAGGCGAGGAAGGCTGGGTTCCCAGACACATCCTGGAAGAGAACAAATTCAAAGTATAACTTGAGCACACACATTTCAACAATGATTAAAGAAAATGATACTACATAATGTTTTAGCATTTGCTCTATGTTTGAATGTTCACTATCTAAAAATATTACAGCAGTGCTTGAAAAACCTTGCATGGATGTGGATCAACGCCATATGTCTCCAGCATCTGGGCTTTATGCAGGAAATTTCGCTCTGATGTTTCAGGTATTTGTCCACTGAGGAAGAGCAACAACACACCAAACATCTGTGTCAGTCTTGAAAGAGGACACATGAACAAGGCACAAACAAGTAATATAAAACAGTTGGATACATTCATTTAGAGACTGGAAGTATTCAGAGATAATACAGATTATACATTATTATAAAGACCAGATAAGGTCAAATTAAATATGTCATGATATATTTAAAAAGCAGTTATTGTGTATCTGGCTGTAACTCTGGTTTAATCAGGGAGTCAAATCAATGTGAACATTCATAGTGAAGCAGTGTTTACTTGGTGGTGAAGCAAGAGGAAACCACTAGTGGGCAGCAGAGGCTCATGATGTTTGTCATGTTTGTCGTTATGCTCCTACAGCTTTAAAAATTGAACTTTGTTAATGTCTGTCATTTTACTGTACATCATTAACACAGAAGCTTATTCACATTAGGAGTGATAAAACACTCATTAGTGCAAATAATAATCAGTTGGATTGCACATGTGACAGTAATACTGTGTGTGTGTGTGTGTGTGTGTGTGTGTGTGTGTGTGTGTGTGTGTGTGTGTGTGTGTGTGTGTGTGTGTGTGTGTGTGTGTGTGACCTAGCATTACTATACTTGTGGGGACCTAAATCTGTTTACACAGTCACGTGTGGGGACTCGCCACCCTTATGGGGACATAAGGGAGGTCCCCATAAAGGGAATCAATAATTTTAGGGTGAATACTTGGTTAGGGTTAGGGCAAGGGTTAGGGATATGTTGGTTATGGTTATGGTTAAGGTTAGGATAAGTCTCCAGGAAATGCATGTAAGTCAATGTAATGTCCCCTGAAGTGATGTAAACATGGTGTGTGTGTGTGTGTGTGTGTGTGTGTGTGTGTGTGTGTGTGTGTGTGTGTGTGTGTGTGTGTGTGTGTGTGTGTGTGTGTGTGACCCATCACTAATACCTCTAATAAACGCCAGTCAGAGAGCGCTTTTCCCTGCTTTCTGCTCATATAAGCGACACTCTGTCCAATTCACAACAGCAACAATGGTGCCTCATTACTGCACCTAATGACATAAATGCCACAGATAGCTTGGTGTTTGTTTAGCCGGCATACTGTAGGAGCGGGATTGGTATAGTTACGTGAAAACAAGAGAGAAATTGATTGCATGGTTTTATAATCTGGCTCTTACATCAGCTCTGTCTTGTGTAGGTCTGCAATCCGGCGCTCCAGCTTCTCCGAGTGTTTAGGAAAGAACTGGAACTTGGAGCTGTAACCTTCAGGATGCTTCCCAGGGTCGTAATTTCCAATCTCAGCTAGAGGGAGGATAAGAAAAAGTTAAATGTTTAACACATTCACACACAATCATGGGGAGTTAAAAAGATGACTTCATTGTTCAGCAAGGTGCATCTTTTGGGGGTGAAAATAGATGATTTGTGTTCCTTCGTGCCACACTGCACTCCCTCAGATGACCCTGATGCTGATTCTCTCTGCGAGGAGCTGACCATGCAGCCCATCTTTAATTCATCAGCCCCTCCTCAGAGGACCTGGCTCTCCTTATCCTCAAATGCTGTGTCTTCTGCTAAGCTTCCACCATCATATGTTGCAAATGTATTATCTTTTCAATTTACACACGGCATCTATTGCACGTCTGTCCGTCCTGGGAGAGGGATCCCTCCTCTGTTGCTCTCCCTGAGGTTTCTCCCATGTTTCCCTTTAAACTGTGGGTTTTCTTTGGAAGTTTTTCCTTGTACGATGTGAGGGTCTAAGGACAGAGGGTGTCATATTGTCATACTGATATTTTGTACAAACTGTAAAGTCCACTGAGACAAATGTAACATTTGTGATATTGGGCTATATAAATAAACATTGATTGATTGATTGATACTTCATGAGTGTTGTGTTTGTTTATGTATATATGTGAGGCAAAAGATGATAAGATGCCAGATAATGACTTCAAAGACTTCATAAATAATCATGGGCTCTTGTTCATTAAAGACTGTGGAAGTTATGAACTAATTATCATACAAAGCACAGAAAAGCCTTTTACTTTGAGTTTCAGATTCAATACAGTATCAGTATGGGAATCAAATGTAATGAGCGTGAAATGCTTAGTACATGCCTTAAAGCGTAGACAATCTTCTGTGTGCATAAAAAAGCCTGCAGGCATTTCCTTTGAAAGCCTTCGTGCTGTACATTTAAGCTTCTTTGGGTTCAAGAAAAGCGCTATAGAAATCAAACGTATTATTATTATTATTACATTCTTCATCACCTAATTCAGCATCTTTCCATAAAAAAACATATATAAGCTTTGCGAGCAGTAATAATCAGAGGGGTAACCTACAGAGCACGGTAAAACAGAGGTCGTGAACACAGTGTGGAGCGTTGAGTGGTGCAGGTCACTTCCATCTGTCACCCTCCATTACCTTGAAGTATGTGGGCAGCCAGCATGGCCGCGTCCGAGGTTTTACACAGCAGCCGACCGTGGTAGAGGTCTCTCTTGATTTGCATGAAGACAAGATATCTACAGAGGAAAGGACAACAGTGGTATGACATTCTAATGATATTCATAATACACCAAACTACTTGTACAGTTCTCAGTGAAAAGAAAGGTAAAGACACAGCAGTCTGTTGAGTTCATATTCCCTATGGGAGGATTGAATATTTCTTTTTGATTTAACTGAAATTAGGGTTTTGTTTTGGGGAAAGGAGGATAGGAAGGCCCTGAGGGAGAGGCTGCTACAGTACTGACGCTGCTGTGCTTCTCTTAAAGCTTCCAGCCTAGTTTCTCACCCAACCGATGAGATCCTGAAGCATGCAATTTACTCTGACATCTGCAGCATGTTGGTGACGACGACTGATTATTAACATTATTATCACGATCATTATTCAAGGAGAACTTATTACATTTCTTATTTTACAAACCCCTGAACCACGAACAGGATCTCGTTTGTTTTTCAGAATTAGCCAGCAGACCTGCTTGTCTCTATCTAGGCCATTTCCACAAAGACTAACACTGCTTTCTGTGCAGAGAAACACATTAACAAGATGCTTGCACTTCCCACGTTTCTCACTCTGCACGAAAACCTTTTAGAGGTTTGACAAATACAATAAATGGGAAATAATTAAACTGCCATTTAGTGTTAATTGCTGCAGATGAAGGCACTCACAGATATGGCACATTTGCAGAAGTATATTCACCTTTACAGATATAATAGTACAAGGTCAGTTTAGAAATCTGAAATTGAAACAGCGCCATCATAAATGTTACGAGTAACATCTGTGCTTTTTTCTACAATGACAAGTCAGAAATATTTGTTGAGAAAAAAGGATCATAATCATTTATGGGAAGAGCTGCATTTTTTGATGTCTATATTATTTATGTGGCATTAACAATCTGTCCAAGATAAATCTCTGCACAGTATGATGAGTGGGAGCATCCACTGAATGAACCTTGTATGTACTTGATTATTTACCCTCTCCTGCCCTCTGCGTTCTGCCCTCTACACACTCTCATCATCATGTATCACCCCGCCACCCCCCCCTTTTACTTTCGCCTCCTTTTTCCTTTTCACTCTGCATCAACACTCTACATGTGGCGCACATTTCATCTCATTACAGCACAGAGAGAGAGAGAATGGTCACCTCTCCCTTATGTCAGTGATGAATGTATCAGTAAACACACACACACACACACACACACACACACACACACACACACACACACACACACACACACACACACACACACACACACACACACACACACACACACACACACACACACAACACACACACACACACACACACACACACACACACACACACACACACACACACACACACACACACACACACCACACACACACACACACACACACACACACACACACACACACACACACACACACACACACAACACCACACACACACACACACACACACACACACACACACGTCCGTTTCAGGTTTCTGGTCATTTATTTATTAGTGAAGTGTTTAACTCTCCTCTCCGCTTCACAACTCCTCTTGAAACTGTGTTCTGTGTCATATTTATCATAAGCTTTTAGACAGTAAAGTACTCAGGCTTTTTAATTATGAAGGCCCATAAATAGATTTAGAAAGACCAATGTTTTCTCCGCGTAAAACTTTTAGAGCACTATCTGTACTACAGGAACATCTAAAAAAAATATGTTTCTTCCTTTTGATCAAACTGGAGCAAAATAAGAGCCGTTTCATCTAAAGTGAAAGCAACAACAGCTGGCCATACCGAGTGATTTCCTCCTTTAGCGCAGCAGGTTCAGGAGGGTAGAATTTGACTCTCAGACACATGGTGAAGGGAGGCTGAGCTGCAGGAAACATAAGCAAAACATTTAGGAAACATACAGAAAACCTATTAAATTAGGTAGGTAAGTTATAAAAACACTCAACAGGAGATCGAAGGAGACAGCAGGACTGTTTAACACAAGCAGATTAATATTCAATCATCCATGCGTCCTCTATATAAACGTAAACAGTACTTACATTTAATTTGTTTTGCAATTGATTTCGAACACTCCAGCCAATGCTGCATTGGAAAGAAAAAAAAAGATCAATGCAAAATAACAAAATACACAAAAAATCCTCTCTCCTCCATCAATCAAAACATTCAGGTGACAATTAAAATATCAGTTGTCATGGTGATCAGCTGTTATTACTGACAGTTTTCTGGGGAATCCTAGTCAGGCCGAATATGATGCAGTTTTACTGCACTGTTAGATAAATATGCAATATGCAAAAGCTGCTTTGCACATTAATATTCAGCGGGGTTTCTTTTGAAAATGTGACTGTGGAGGTCTCTTGAGACACAGTTAGAGCAGGAAGGCTCATTAGACAACAGGTTTAGACTTAACACTGAGCTGCTGGTGATGACAGTCTCACACTCTCTGTGTGTCCGCAGCCAGATAAATGTTAGCTTTCTCTCTGGAAGCATATTCTCTCTAAATATTTCTCGTAGGTTGACTTCTTTCCAACCCCACCCACAGTGTGATAGTGTCGGAAATGCAGCATCAGCCGGACCTGGCTCTTGTCTGCAGGACTACAACATGTGTGTGAACATGTGAATACTTCATGAATCCGGCAGTGCTACTACATGCCTCACAGCAGAAGAGCCTGATGGAGCTACCGTCCGTCTGAGAGGCTTTGTGAATAAGAGAAGCTGAAGAACACAGCTTTTCACTTTGGCAATGAATCAAAGCCAATCCATTTTTAAAAGTATAGCCACACATGATGTATATGGTCACGAAGCAACCCAGTTATGTGGGTATGAAGTCATTTTAAGTACACATATTACCTATTATAGCTTTAACACATTGGATGCAATGGATAACAAAACAAACTTATGGTTTCAATTAAGAAATGAACTATGTAATTGTATTATTAACAAGGCACACACTATAACCCAGGATAGTAAAGCCATAATATGTTAGTTAAATATAGCCTGAATACAACTGTGTACTATTGAATGGATATGCTTCTCTTTTCTTAATCATTTAAAATGCTTTATAAAAGAATGAAAATATTAATTAGCATTTAAGCACGCATACACACACACAAACACACACGCACACTTACCCGCTGCTTGTCTGGATCCACATATCTGATGCCAAAATAGTCTTTCTCCAGCAAGTTGAGATGGTGGCAGATGATGTCAAACAGATACGATCCCTTTGCATCCCGCTGTAATAGAAGAGGAGAAACACACAAATCAGCAAGTATACCCACAACAACAAATCAAAAACATATTTGGATATGTGTCCAAAAAAGATACAACAAAATAAAATGTACTATCTATGAGAAATCATTCCTGCCAGCAGACGGTACTTCAGATTTATTTAAAACCCTGGCAGAGATATCTCAGATTCATCCAATATTAATACACAGGCAGAGCTATCTGAAGTGTCTGGAATAAACCCATCCACAGCTAAAAGAGGAGCTCACAGAGAGGACGGATTAAATAAACTGAAATCTCAATGAGATTTTGCTAATACTCTGCATTTCCTTCGAGAAACCCTAGGGTTTAATGCAGCACAGAAAAGCCTAGACATCCTTCAAAGTGTCCAGTAATTATCTGATACCCTATTCCTGCTTGCAACAATGCAACTGCATCACAGCACCAACATATTTGCATCAGATTATTGTGTAGAGATCCAAAAGTAGCACGTCAAACTGTTCACTGCTAAGACACTCCTCTAAAAAGATGGCTGGATAAAAACAAGTCAAATGCTGCAACACAAATCAATGCTGATATAATTGGGATGAGCACATTAAGAGTGATGATTATAACGTGGCGCTTCCCTGCAGAGAGTCAGGTAGAGTAAGTGACAGCTCTGCGACTAATCAGAAGCTGCAGAGGTGTCACACAGTTCAAATCAGTGTCAGTCACTGTCAGGGGCTGGAATCAAGTCTGAATGTTAAAGACAATGAAACATGACAACCTCTCAAACTATAACATCATATCTGAAGCAACTCAGTATGCAAAACTGAAATGTTAAGCAAATGTATAAGACTGGATATCATTACATCAAAATAGCCTATATAGCCTATGTACAATTATGCTGTTTTGTGGCAATACACAATTGCATCTTTCCAGTGAATCAAAGGGGTTGGACAGAAGGTGGTTGTGATTAATCAGTATCATGAAGAAAGGAAAACATTAACTTTTCAGGACTTTTCCTTTTATCCTTCCAAGACAGAGAAACACCTGTCTATGTGTTTGGCTGGTGAACATAGTAGAGCATTTAGCAGCTGAAGAGGCAGATATTTCCCTGAATTGTTGGTGGAGACCAAAACAGAGCTAAAATACACGACTGCAAATGCTAATGTCACTCTGCTGTAACTAGATACCGGTTTTAGTTTCAGAAGGTGTTAATATGTACCTGTTGTGTACAAACTAGGTTGTTACCTTTAATGTGGCAAACCTCAATTGCTATTCGATAAATAAACAAGCATTTTCAAATTTACAAATGTTTGATAAGATTAATAATCATTTTACAGATTCTTTGATCAGATATTTTCTAATCTTAATTTGGAATATTGGTTCATTATAAAAGTTCCTCTAGATTTATCATACAGCCGTTAGTGTTTCATGGTTTTGTAGATAAACATGTTGAAGTTATTATTGCTTGAACCAAGGTATTAGCATTTGAAAATCATACTGAGTCCTTTTCACAGAATAAATCACGTGTGAACTAATGTCATGGTCATGGACACTCAAGTCTCCGCCTCCATTACGGCTGATGAGGAGGTCAGCTAAGGTCAGCAGGCCTGGTCACATCTCTCTCCTCCTTCCACTCTCTCTCTGCTCGTTCGCCCTGTGACGGCGAGTAGAAGTGTCACTGGCAGCACTCTCCTCCATGTCATTACTCATGCTGCAGATAAAGGCACTTCATTAGGACAAAGGCCTGTCGATGCTGGGCTTGTAGCTGAACCGCTGTGACTCTGTATCCAAATGCGGATAGGATCTCCGCTACTGGAGATAACTGACCTTTCTGTAGCGAGACCGAGGAGCTCCATGGGTGCTCGTTGCTGTCACTTCAAGATTATTCCCTCGTTGTTATATTAAAAACCGTTATGACATGCCTAATAATTTACAGTGCCTTGATCAAATGAAAAAGGACTATTCTATTAGATAGTACAGAAGATTGACAGGCTGGATTGTTATGGTGTGCTCAAAACACAGTAACATATGTAAATGCATTTTTAAGAATCACACACACATGCATAAACACAAAAATGCATGGTGAATTTTGCAAACTAGTATTTTCTCAAAGTTGTTATATAATCCTCTTACTGAAATGCTCTTAAGTAGCCAGGTTTCAACGGTTTCAATAAGCTTTTCAAAGTAATCAGATTACACAAAACCTGCGAAAAACAGTCTTTGAAATCAGGGTAAAAGATTATACACAATTTTACAGCTAGATTTATTTTGGTGAAAGGTGATTTTAAGTATACAAGTAAAGATATACATGTACAACAATCTGCCTAATCTAAATATATTCAGGTTATATGCCCTTAGATTTAAAAAAGGATACAAGAAAAGCTAAATATATCTTAGTTTTACGCTCATTTAAAATGTAAAGTATACTTTCTCCTGTGGGTTTATCATTGGGCTAAAAGCTAGAGGGAGCAACAAAGGCAACCACAATTTAAAAACGGTCCTGCATGCAGAGGACACACTGAATCAGGAAAGACATCTGCTCTATTGTTGCACGGAGAGAGCAAGTTTGTTAGTATTCAACAGCACTCCCACCAACAACCCCCCATCCCTGTCTCCCCCTTTTTCTTGTTCCCCAGTGCCCCCTACCTCTTCTCTGCCCCACCCTGAACACAGCTGTATTATTCCCCAGCTGGTCCCACTAATTAAAGACTGAGGTGATTGCGAGAGAGAAAGGATGTCCTGAAATGTCTAATTAACACTAATGAACCTTTTCCGCACCTAGATTGGCATCTTAATATAGCTCTACAGGAGCCCCGACAGATTTACACAAGCGTTTATTGGTTTGACCTGAGTTTTCAACCGTGTGGGACCCTGTTAACAACATCCATTCCTGCTGTGTTGTATTTGTTGAATCAATAACACCGAAACATCTGTCACCTCAAGATCTTTGTGACAAATTATGAGAAGAGACACATTTTTTGAATGTTAAAGAGGATGCATTTGTTCACTAAGTAATCACCTGTTACCAATAAATAATAAATACATCTGAAATGGCCTTGCCAAATAATGTGTTGCTTGGTGTTGAGTAAACAGAGGATAAAAGGTTATCAACGATAGTCACATGAGAATTAAAAAGGACTTTCTGACACGCCTCGGACTGAAAACAACACGGTGGTTTTCTTACTTCCTATATGGCCCCCAGTGTACAATGGGCACTTTCCTTTCAGATTAATCATTAAAATGGTCTCCATGTCAACGCAGGAGCGCAGACCATTAATAAAATATTGTATCACTTTATAGTGAGAGGAGTGGAAACATAATGCCATCGACTGAGTGGGACTTTGTGTGTGTGTGTGAAGTGTAAGGCTAAAGGTACACAGAACCCTGAGGTGATTTATTTGGTTTTATAAGTGGATTACGTTTTTTTTCTCCCAGGAGACTGAGTGGTTGCGCTGGTAAATGTGTTGGAGCGTTTCAGAGTCCTACCGAGCTGCTTGGAGTCATGACCCTGCCGCTTCAGCTGGGACTGGGAGCCCCATAAAGCCAACCTGCAAACTCTTACAGTTAACATGAAGCTCTCTTTGCTGTACAACCAAATGTGTGTTTTTCAATAAACTGAAATACCTGTGTTATGGTTCAATCCAGCGCAACACAAGGATTTTGTACATTATTATTATGCTATTCTCAATACAGAGAGGCAGGTTGTTGTAGCATTTAAATAAAAATGCCCATCAGTGATCTGAATCATGTTTCAGAAGTCCAATCGGGGAAAATAAATGAACTGATGTCCCCTCATAAAATAAGTTTGAAGCTGATAGGAGCAGGGGGAAACAATTATTGTCTACACAAATCAATGGAGAAAGACCTACTACAATGTCACAGAAATTAAACACAAAGCAGGTTTTTTGATAAACCAATTAAAAGCTTTGTTATACCACATTTAAAGAGCAATAATATTTGTGGGAAAAACATTAAAATTACGATCAGTGCGTCAAGACACAAAACACTTAAGTTATTTTTTAGATTTCCCAAGCTGATAATAAATGCCAAGTAATGTTATAAAACACAACTGTAAAATCACACATGAGAGGACCATAATAAACTGCATTTATGGGGTTACTTTTCAAACTGTCAACACAATACTGCAAATACACTTCTCAGGATAATGCCAGTGGCTAATGGGGTGGAAACATGGAATAAAAGAGTTCTGCATATTAACTATAAAACTCTAAAAACATGTTCTTCCATTAAGTCAAATCAGCCAGCAATTAAGTAATTAGCTGAGTATGACAATATAAGATTTCTGATACAAAAAAACATTATTAAACAGCATCAACCTCACAGCAATCCACTGGGCAGAGTAACATATGATAACATATTATACATTTACTGTACCCAGAGGTATCTAAAACAAATGGTGAGGCCAAATATGTCATAAAAGGCAATTAGGCATAATGGCTAAAGTGGAACCAATCGATCTGCACATGGACGGACATTTGCCGTCATTGTAGTAGCTCAATGGCAGTTTTTAAATAGGGTTATTAACTTATATGTAACCCTGGGCGGTGGAAGGAGACACAGAATATAATGGAAAGTGACACAATATCTTAAGAGTGATTAAGACACCGCAATGTCAAAGTGAGGCCTCGAATAACTACACAGCATGACGTGCAAAGACGAAGCATTTGAAGACTGAGCAAATATTGACCCTAAAAAGAGCAAGCAAATGTACGTAGAATATACATCATATTTAAAAAACAAATCTAAAAAGGATTTTTAGATCCATATTAACAAAGTAGGAAAGTGCAAGAAGTTAGCCCAGAAATGTGAGGAAATAAGAAAAAAGGAAAGCAAAAGATAGCTGTGGACACAGGCGACATGGATAATTGCTTTTAAAGCTTCTCAAGAAGATCTGAATATGTGAAGATGTGAGTTGGCATTTATGATTAAAGAGGACTTTGTGAGAGGGACTGAGCTAAATGCCGAGACGGCTCAAATCGTTTTTTTTCATAATTGAGAT